CCGAATTCGTAATAGAACTAAATAAAAAAAATTGGAATAAAATTATGGCCTAACTCTAACCTGGTACACATACTACGTTCCGGTGTCCGCCATCTTGGTTCACATACTACGGGAGTACCCAAAAAATATCTTCACGCTTGCGAATCTTAACTGGTACACACTCTCATGGAAATTTCATGGAAAGCATGGTGTTTGTTACTGAAATAATATGCTGCCTGGAATGCAAATTCTCCATTTTTAACATTAAGTAATTTCCCAATTTTATTTTTCAAATTTTAAGTGTCTTACATTTTAAATTGTCGTGAATCGTCCCGACAATAGCATTACGAATAAATTATAAAATAACACCTTGAGCTTAAAGTGTTCATTGGTTTTATAAAGAATACGTAATGTAGGTTCAGTCCGGTATAAATCCTTCATATCGATAAATCTATTGATATTTCCTGGAAAATCAGTAATAACCAATGATAATTACCATTTCGCTAGGCCTTTTTTTTGTACACACACAAGTCCTTTATACCTTTTTGAGAAATCACATATCGTTTGTACTTCTTTCCTCGCTGTATTCGCATTGATTTTAGAAAAGTGGGACATAATCACAATATCACAAAGTTATGTTACTGACGATAGTTAGTGACAATTATCCGTACAATTAGGGTTTTAACGAATTCTAGCTCGGCTCGCAGTGTCAACAACTGTTCTCTGTTGTGTTGACTCTGCTCATTGACTGAGTGTGACATGTGAGGTCACAAACCTTCGGTATAGTGAGTATTTACATCTCCCTTGTTCCAAAGAGCGACTATAATACGTCTTAATCATTGTTGTACATCTGTGTACATAAATAAATAAAAGTTGAATATGCTATGAGTTGCATTTAGTGTGCTTTGGTTGTATTCATATTTTTTCTGTTATTCTTAGATATTATAAAGACAGACAAACGAATCTTGCGTTCAGGTTTTGATTATATTTCGTTACAAACCATCTCAACATTTTGACTGCAAAGCAGACGACACTTTGCCCTCGATTATGTGTATCACTTGTATTCACCTGATGTCTAATCTACATAAAAATTCGGTCGAGTTACGAAATTATGATATTAAAGAATATAAGAGTGCGACCATGCACAACCTATAAGTATTCTACCTTACTGAACCAATTCCATTAAATATTGAAGTTTGTTTTTGAAAGTGCTCATGATGATAGTCAGAAGTCGGGGAGATTTGTTAGGGAACATTTTCTACAATATATCAGAAGAAAATGAAGCCCTAAAACAAATACACCAATTTCATAAAACAGAGTGGAATATATGCAATTCTCATGTAAACCTCTTGTTCATTCAGCCCTACAGTCTTGTCGTTCTATAGTTATAAATATACCGATTTATTCCAACAATATCATGTTTACACCCCACTCTATTTTTCTCATCAATATTCAGCCTACATTAACCAATCTTTTATCATTTCAAATATTGTTTATACGAGAAAAGACAAAAGCAATTACTAAGCATTTGGAGAACTTGTTCGTTCCGTTCGTCCGGCACAAAATAAAGTTAATAATTTTCTAGTCGAATTCCCGTTTGAATTTTTATCAATCGCTCCACAAAACGATTGATCAGAGTAACGTTAAAAAAAATAGATTGAACACTTAAACAGTTTTGTTTCACACCCAACGATATTTTTGAAATATTTTGTACTCGCATCTCATTTAAACTGACGCATTTATGTCCATTTAATTCACGTGTTTACAGTCTGGTATAGACAACACCAGTTTTGATAAATTGAACAGCATTGTTTGGACACTTTACTTGACGATTAGTGAAAATATGCTAATCACAGGTTTTCAAAATATTTCTAATATGAGTAAAATTTCATCTAATCAAATTGATAATGAATTAAATTTAATGAATACCGTAATACATATTTCATTTTTAATTTCCTGTGAGAATGGAATGGAATTCTCGAATCTAAAAAAAATTATCTTATATTTATCAGAAAGAAATTTCTATTAATCAACTAAGCGGTGAAATTTATACAGCATGGACGTGGGAACTGATATACCAATTGGGAATCTGTTATATAACATACGTACTTCGATAGTAATATGGGAGGTTTTGCATATTAGGTCTATCGGACATTATTGTTTCGTCTCAATCAACCGCATGACAATATACTGAAACGTGATTATACAACACTATATTATGCTACCAAAATAATTTGCTTTTTGAAATCATTCAATATCGAAAATGGCAATTATATTTTTGAAATTTTCGTTTTCAAAATTGAAAGATACTTATATTCTATGGATGATAAATTTTATAAAACGATCCTAATAAACCTCTCTTTATTCTTAAAAAACTATACTGTTTCTAACTTCCTTCTCACGTCTTGTTGAGCTTACTTGTTACAGTTTTCAGTACTTTCGTCGGTATAAGAGTGTTAGAAAAAGTTTATTTTCAATCGATTTGTTCGAATTATGTTCACAGTTTTTTCAGGCCTTATCACACATGCGACCACAGTGCAACGGTAATATATTTTGAAATGGCGCAACATGGGTTTACGTAGTATTTTCGTGTATTCCTGGGCTACTGAAATTTTCCATGCCCGATTACTTCGTAAATGCAACAATAACACATTCTCAACTAATTTTGAGGTATTCTCTACTTATTCCTACGTTTACAATCATTTCCTCGTATGGAAATTTTGGTGAATCCAAAATAGCGGAACCCAGCAGGAAATATTCTTATTCAAATATAACAAATTTTCGTAGAATAAAAAACTCAAGTTGGGTTTTGTATTCATGTAATTGACTTGTCACATAAAACTGCATAAGATTTACGTCCTGTGCCATACAATCTGTTGTACATGCAGTCAAACATTATATCAAAATTTAGGTTAGGTTTGAATTTTGAGAATACAACAAACCTAACCATAATCCTGACCCAACGTACATGACGCCTTAGTCAAATTGCAAAGAAAAAGATATCTTACATAAATTTAGTGATTTTCAACCCAAGCACTAAAATATGAGCACGATTCCTTTCCCATGTAATATTTTTAAACAAAAATATCGTTCATTTGTTTAAAAATTAGATATTTTTAGCCGATACAAACACATCCAGTTTTAGTTTCAATATTAAGTTTTGGGTACTCCTGAAGTATGCGCACCAAGATGTCGCACAACCTGAACCCTAACCTAGTTCACAACCTGAGTTCAGGTTCGGCGCCATCTTGGTCCGCATACTTCGGGAGGTCCAAGTTTTGTTCATCTGCTGTGCGATATACTGAGTTATATAAAGTATCTTGAATAATTTTACGGATTGTATGCATTTTAAGACTATGAATGCAATATAATAAGAATCTGATGTATATAATATTGGAATAACGATGAAACACGACTCGCACTTCTGCACATAAATAATAAACTATTCAACCTGAAGTCTATTAAGCTTAATTCCAATTCCTGTTTCATAACAGTCGCGTCGTTAAATATTATATTTTGTGACAAAATATATTGTGGCAGATATATGTACGAAGTAATATTATACTTCTAGGAACAAAAAAATGTTTCTCATAGTCGTCTACTTCCATTTAATATTAATGTTAATAGTTCACTCCTTCATTTGATAAGATCACCCAGCATTTAATATATGGTCTCACGTGAAAGGTTTCTGGGTGGTTGAAATCAGTAAGCTGTGGTCGGGCCTTCTTGTGTAACACCGGTATATGTTATTGATAAGAATGCGTTCCTAAAGGTTTCGATTACACATCATTCCCGTCCATGGCCGACGACATTTGGCGCCGTCATATATTAGATTTGAGTATATATTTGCCTGGAATACACTTGATCCGAATTAAAATCAAATTTAACACCTCCTATGAAGTCAACTTCTGTTTTGCATAACACATAATAAAAGTTACATTAAATAATTGATTTCAAAGTATAAATATATTTTGTATGTGTTCATTGGATCATATTCAAATAAAAATGAGTCGAATCGTTGTTTCAGTATTATTAGTTTTAATTGGGAATTAGCCCTCTCGAATAACACTCCCAAACAACCGAGAAATTATGTTGTTTGCAAATGGTAGTGTCATTAAAGCGCTATGTAGTCGCTATTAAGATCTATTAAAAAAAAAATAACAGGAAATGTTTCCTCTAAGCCTAATGCTCCTTGCTGTATACTATAGAACTGAAAACCAAAATAATGGTCGCCTATATATGCTTGAACTGATGAAAACGAATATCATTTTCATTGTAAAAGTCATTCGGGCTAGTAAATTAATGAATGTTACATATTTTGTAAAATTTGTAACAACTTGTAAATAGTTTAATAACTGCAGTTTAAATCGAGTTTGTTCGAAATATGAAATGATTATGATCACGTGTATACATATTTTACGCGGAATGAGGCGTGCATTCTGTTAGTGTCAAAAAACGTAGGCTATATAAGCCATATGCTCAAATACTGAAATATAGATTTATTTTTCTCTGTGTGTGAAATTGCTGAATAACAATAAGATCCATTGACCGATTTACAAATGGGAGCTTTGTTTTGGGCATTTTTAAATGATTTTTGGCCACATTCAGAACTAAAATATTCTTAAAATCGAACATAGTACATATATATGTTAAAATCGGTTGTCGTCATGTATGGATATTGTCATTTTTCTTACTAATCTATATTTTGTAGCACGTAGGGAACCTTTACAAATATTTCAACTGGCAAAATGAGGGGAACGATGCTCTCGTCGATTCATTTTGTGTTGAAGTCGAATCGAATTTTATGGAAAGAGGTTACCGCCTTTGTGTGAATGCACTCAAAAACACAAATGACTCTTCAAAACAGGTACTATACTATAATGGCTGTTGACCGCTTGATTAATTTATTAAACTCCAACGCCCTGATAAGGGGATCGTGTTTCATTCTTAAAACATACATAAACGTCACGTAAAGATCCATTCCGTAGGTACGACAGTTCGTCATGGCAGCAGATGAAATTAATAGTTTTCATTGAGCGTTTTTCCAATATAATTTTAAAATGGCACCTTGCATACAATTGCATAGATTTCTAGATATTCAAGACAAAGAGCGAACACATTTATTTACTTTTATTATCGAAAATCCGCACGATATTACTGGCTTTGACGTACGATCAAGAGAATTTCAATTTGCTGGTCACAGATGGTACGTTTATACTGGAAAATCAAATGATTATTACAGGTAAGACAACATTTTTAAACTTTACCATGGGCGCCATATCTATTGTATGTTTGTTACGATGCAATTGTAGTTGCATGATCTGTTTTGATTTATAAGTTTGTAAATTCTACGAATTGTTTATTTCAATGTTTTTGTACTACGCAATACGCATAACACTCTACTTTCATTTGTTATTTTATCTTCAACGGAACATTTGTTTGCGATACGTATAGCTAGTTTTCTGGCTTTGTACATTTTGAATAGTTTATAATGTTTGTATATATATATATATGTATTACCATAATACTAAATAAGTAAAAAATGTTAGTGATACTACACGCAAATACGAGGCAAAATTTCCTCCCCAAAACATTCAAATTCTCCTCCGGTGTGAAATGTTGGTTCCTTTGCACCTATAGTCAACTTCGGTAAAATCATCAAAACCATTAAATCTTGTGTACAGTGTGCAATACCGTCCATTTTGTCGACATCGGTAATTGTATCGGTATCGGCTATAAGTAGACCGATCTTTCCGATATATTCTTCTCTTTAATTGTACTTAGAATGTTTTAAAGTATAAGTTAGTACACGGATATTGTGAACTGTAATTGATTTTACCGTGAGACATCATTTACGCGGCGTTTACCGCCTGATTTAATTCGTCACAGTAAGTGTAGTGAGTTAATATTGCCCTTAAATAAATGAACACATGTATTTCACCATGTACGGACGCCGACCTGCTTTCTGATCGAGCACGTCTACGCTTACTATAATTTGCTTAATGGAAGTGCGCAGACCGACTTTTGCATATGTACGAAGTTGATTCCAACTGCTACCCCTAGTCCTTCCTTCTCGAATATTTTCCTTTAAAATGTTCTTTAATGATTTCCTATTCAGGTTTTGTGGCCTGTATTTAAAAACAACAAAATTTATTTAGTAGACAACAATTTATAAGTCCATCTGCCAAATTTTATGAACATAATTCATGTTTGATTATATATTTTAAACACACATTATTTGTCGTGCACACTGCACAACAATAATATCTCCGATATTATTCCTTTGCAATTCAATCTATTATATTCTTATAGTAGACTGATTTGTTAATATAATTCAACTAATTAGGATTTGGAGTAAATCAGTTTTCGATGGAGGATATTTTTACTTATTCACTGCACAGTAAAAAAACTCTTATGACTGCGTTGGATGATCAAAATAGATTTTTTCACGAATTCGAGTTTTTGGATAAAAATATGTTTTGCATGTTTTCATTTTATAGCTTTTATCTGCGAATCGTGAATCTCGGCAAAGATGTCAAAGTTCACACTGCATACTCATTCACTGTCATAAATGCTGTCAATTACCAAAATAACTACACTTGTCACAGTCCTACTGGTGGACGAGTTTTTTGCAGAGATGATGATTCATTATCATGGGGATGGAAAGAATTTATAAGGAAAGAGGTAATCTTCTTTATTTCAGTTTATTTATTTCCAGCATAAATAACCGCTCAAAAACAAAATTTGTAGACCTAAAATAACGACTACAAAAATCGAAAAGAATAGTTGAGCACGATAGTAGTGATTCTAACGCGGCCCAAAGTCGATTAAAATATAGTTCTCTAGGAGTGGCATCCATTGCAAACTTCTATGAAGCCTCGAAAATATATTCCGTAGCATTATAAACATTTTTCGGCAATTCATATGCATGCGAATCCGTGTTTCACACATTCGTGTTTCATAAAATCGAATTTCAGAAATTGCAACATTCTTGTTATAACTGTTGAACTTAAATGGCCACCACAATTCTGTGTGGTTTCAGTATTGAAGGGGTATCCGAAACCTTGCTTAGTGGCGATTGGATATGGTGAACTTGGTTCGCTGCAATTTTGTATGATAAAAATCTTTCCATACCAAGGTTGTGAGACATTTCAGATACTGTCATATGTTAAAAGATGAGATGGGGCTATATCATCGATTATCATTAAAATATTTGGTTTTTGTCATAAAAGTTAAAAAGTTTAAATTCACAAAAAGTTAAAAAGTTTAAATTCACATGGGATCTGTAAAAAAATTGTGACATAAGAATTGATTGTGTGATTCTGTAATTTCTCAGAGACAGCAGATTGTTTTTTATTTTGCAGACTTTACTGAAGCCGAGTGGTGGTTTTCTATATGATGGAAATAAAGTGTTAATTGATCTAGAATGTAAAAACTTCAAAACTCTATTTGAAGAAGAAATTATGCTACCGTCAATTACAAATGAAATGCCTTACCCAGTAATTCACACATCACCTTTCAGTGTTGGTGGATTTGCATGGCAGGTAAGCTAATAAGATATTTGGTAGCATCACAAATCCCCCATCCCCCCCAAAATTTGCAATTTTGCCAGATTTGCAGTAAGACATAGATTCATAAGCCTTTTCCAACACATTTTGCTATATTCTTGAACGATTTTCTGAAAACCGGATGTTTCCTGGCTTGCTATCAATAATCCTTTTACCAGATGAACGAAAAGAGATGGATAAAAATGTGCGCTTATGTACCTTGGATAACTTCGACAGCGAAGTACGTCTGTAGAGCGATTCTTTAAGATATTGTTAGATATCAGTGGCTACTTTTATTTTGCTTTGTTCAGAGCAAAAGGCACGAGTGAAGTCGTATTACGTCGTTATACAAACAAAAAAAATATGGCCCTACAAAATTTGGGGTTGATTACGCTCTCGGTTGGTATTAATATTTTATAATAATTATATAACACTCATATTATTAATTGATTACAATCTTTGAAAAAAAGCCCAACCCTAAATAATTGGAAATTGTTGCAATATTGACAGATAGGTAATACAACGCTATTCAATGCTATCTGAAACGATAAAATCAATTGGTATCATTAATTGTAAATTAGATTATAATGAATCAGTTTGAAACATTCCTTTCTTTTTATAGATTCGAATATTTCCGAATGGACCTGATAATGAAAGTGAAGGAAATGTGGCTTTATTTCTTCATTGTACAACTTCAAATCACTTGGCCAAAGTTAAAACCAGGTTTCTTATTCATGGTCAGGTATGCTGCTATCAGTTCTTTATTAATCTATTTTTAATATGTTTGTATACTTCAGACCACAGTAATTACTTATATTTTATGTATTCTAATTATATGAATTCTACTTCCTGAAACAGAATACTAAATTAGTACGCTAATTATGTTATGTTTTATTATTTGTAAGCAAGATCAAACTTTAATTTTTGGGTGAGATTAAAGAAAATAATACTGCTTTATATAAAATAAATACCAAGTAACATTAGATTTTTGGATTTATATACTTAACATAATATAAATTTACGCAATTTGTAGATTTTATGTGGGTTGGTGATGAAATAGTTCATTATCCTTTTCTACAAGAGTCATATTCTTTGGTAGATATATACCTAATATATACTTGTTCTTGCAGATAGAATGGCAAAACCAAAGTTATGTTTATATATTGGGTTTTTCTCAGAATTGCATCAATCATATTGCACACATTTAGGCACCCCCTAATTTATTGCCCATACAGTGCAAATCTAATAACTATTACCAAGATTCCTGCTCTTACTATATGTAAAATGTGTGATATTATATAATAATCTGATTTTTCTTTCAGCCCTCACCTTCAGTATATGAACATACCTTTCCAGCAAATTGTATCAGTGAAATGCCAAGTGGTGTCGCATTTCCAAATAAGGGAGATTTCATGTCTTCTTTAAAAAATAACAAATTGCTTGTAGGAGTTGAGTTTATAGCCGTTTATGAGGTTCGTATATCATTTTATCTTTTTGTTCACTGAAAAGAAATTGTTTCTAAATCTAAAACAGTTTATCATATAATTCGATTTTATTGGAAAGTGTCTGATTGAAACAATTTTACAGTTTTATAGGCGTATCAATAAATATATTATATCAACATTTTTTTCAAAATGGTTCATTGAGTGAAATTATTTTTCAAAAATGTAATCTGATTATATTATCTGTGACATTGAGTAAATTTTGAGTTATGAGTTTTGTTCTTATTTTGAATTTTTCAAAAAACTAGGCTATTGCCTAATTGTTCTAATTTATGTTGAACAAACCTAGGAAAACAGAATCAAAGAATCATATCAAAAAATTACTAGTGGTGGGGCAATACTGAAATATTATATGCAGTTGATGTCAGTCCTAAGCTTAACACCAGGCCTAGTACACTATTTTATGACACTACTGATTTTTGTTCAAAGTTTGTTGAACATTGAACTTGAACATTCAAATGAAATGTTGTGTAAAATTTTAGGTGAATGAGGTTCATGTGACCTTATCCGATACGACATCATGTCCAACAGTATGTATGACACCATTTGAGGATTTAACAGGGTGTCCGTGGGTATTGAAAACATTGCAGGTAATATAAATTTTTAAGAATGTATTCATTTCTTTACCCTCTCAAGGATATGTGCCAACAAATTTTTGTCACTTTTTATGTAAGTCAGTTGGAATAACTAAAATCTTATTGGCGCTAACAAGTGACTAAATGTTAGTCACAATATTTTCTTTTACAGGCAATCAAATTAAAGTTGAAGCTTGATCAAAATGAAAAAACAACAAGTGGATTACAAGAGTTCTATCATAGACATATAATGTGGAATGCAACACTAATTGCTCCTGGTTATTTATAAATTACATTTTTTAAAATTTATTTAATTTATTTATATATCAAAATATAAATTTGGAAAATGATATTCAAACAAGTCGCATGGAACGGATCAATAAGAATAGCAATAGTAATATTTGACAAATTTCTTGACATAATGTCTTGCTGGGGTAAAAGACACTTTTAATATAAACAAGTATTGTTCCACCTTTTTATGCGATGCCAGAGTCTTTGACAAAAACATTTTTGTTTGATTTTCTCAATTTCAGAATTAAGAATTTAAAACTACAAAATAGCTTTAAATTTGTATATTCTTATTGCATTTTTTATTTCAAGGCTCTGAAGACGTATCCCTAAATGTACCATTGAACAACAAAGGAGCTTTAATTGGATATTTTGGTGAAAATTGGTCCGATGCTGACGTTATTCGTTCAGAAATGCAAATTCAAGATCTTTCAGTGAGTGACAACCCATATCGTACCGAAGTTCATGATGGATATGAACAGTAAGTATCAGATTAAATAATAAAAATAAGTTTAATAGAACATGTAATGACAAATTGAATATACCTTGCCTAAAATACTATGGATAATATTAATGCATATATGAGTTTGTAACATATATTAAATATATGCCATACTTGAAGTAAAGAATTGAACAAAAATTTTTGTGCATACATTTTTGAGTACACTGATTCTGAGAAAAAAAAATTAGGATGACATTTTTGATCTTTGATTTTCACTTGAATGAATTAATATTACTCAAACTGCACAAGCGAGTAAACATGCCAAAGATAGGAAACATACATTTTATTAATGTAGTTTTATGCAGTGATTTCAACCTAGATCTACGCCTGCACACACTTTTGAGGATATACCAGCAAATATGGGCTTCAAAGATTAACATTATTTGTTATATACAGGTATTCATACATCACAATCCACATTAATATTGTTTCAAATCACCTACTTTATAAAACACCAGCACCATCACCGACTGCAGACAGAGAGAGAAAACTTTTATATTGTGCAAGGTAGGAATGTCGACTATGATAAACAGTGACACTATGAATAGAATGAAGTTCTTTACAATATTCACTATAGTAGGTGTGGTTTTAGTATCAATTTATAATCAAGGTGAAAATGTGCGGCGGTATGGTGCATCATGCTAAGCGGTAGGAAATACGCTAGCCGCCGCACCTCTGATTATCCTTCATGAGTTTGCAGGTTTGAATCCCATAGGGGATCATTATGTGGGATAGGATTGCTGGACTCTTCGATGCCACAGGGTGGTTCATATAACCGTGGGCTGGTTTTGGCTTCATTCACCATCATGCATCTGAAACAAATAACTGGCTAACTAATCCTATATCCAACTAGTAACCAGACGGGAGGCATAGTTATTTGTATGATTAAGCCATCTTATCAGTCTTTCCTTTCCCTGGGGTAAATATGTGAATCTTATTCTTCTAAAGTTCTTATTCTGTCTCTGGACATATATCAAGTTTGGGTTAGGTTATAAGATATTTTTATTGAGATTGATAATTGAGATGTTGAGATAATTGAGATGTTATGTGTCATAATTATCCACATTCATAAAATTTATGAACAACCTGGAATATGATTATTAATATTATTATAATGAATCTACTGACTACATTTTTAAATTGTTTAGAAAAGACAGGGGTAATATGCATACACGATATCAAGAATTGTTGCAACAAAAAAAAGAAGTGGAAAATAAAATGATGGCATTGAAGCAAGCGCAACAGGAAATGCCAGAAGCACCAAAATCCACATTGATTTTATCTGTTCCACAATGGCCAGCAATGTGCTTCAGATTTTTATTTGATTTAATTGATAAATGTGCAGAAAGACATGTATCCAAAGGTATACAATATACGTAATTATCGATATGATGAAACTATCATTCTTCAGAATAGAGATTTGGTGAAGTTTCATACATTGATGCATAATGTGATACAATAAGTTGATGAATGTTCTGCTAGTAGTATCACCCTAAACATCATGAGTGAACAAGAGTTTATGAACAATAGGGTAAGATAGGATAGCCATATTCGTGGATAGGATAGCCATGGCCTCTTGTCCAGCGGTTATGTGAACCATCCTTACAGGGGTGAGTAGTCCAACAATTCTTTTGCACATACTTATCCCCCACGATTCGATTCAAACCTGCAACCCATGCAGGGTAATCAGGGCATGCAAACCAATGTAACTTTGGATTCAAATATTCCCCAAAATACTCCAAAAATCACTTTTCAATATTTGAATAATCTAGCTAACCAAATGAGTGATATTGGTTTGCAATTTCAGCATGGCGAAAATCATACAGTGGGAATACAGGAAGACCCTACATTCGCCCAGTAGTTCAGTCGGAGGCTGAAAACTGCAAATTTTCAATTAGATACAGAGAGCATTTTAGTTTGTATGAATACTTTTCTGTTTAAACATGTAACATTAAAAATTCTAATTCCAAATTAACACATCAAAATATCACAAATATGTAAAATACTTTTTGCAATATTCTAATCCTGTATGCATTTTATGTATAGTTGGCTTGAAGTCGAGTGGGGTCTCTTTGAAATCTTGGCTTACGTTTACTTGGAAATTTCATCTGAATTTTCATTTATATTGACTTTCTTATTCGAAGTTCATGATAATCACCTTCCAATCACCTTCAATTCTTTCAATGGAGTTATACAGCAGATATTGATTATTGATGTGAAGTGCAACATAATCAGAAAAGTTTAGATGTTTTTACTAGTCTATTAGTTTAAAAAACCTAAATATTGTTGTAGAGCTGATTGGTAAGAGACAATTAATTGTTGATGGCCAATGGTTTCAAAATCTTATTTTAAGATATCTGATAATCCTACCACTAAATTTTCTAAAATAAAATTATTATGAATGGGGATATATGCTTGGATCACCTTTGAAATGAGTTGTTCCTGAGTTCTCAAAATTAATATAAAGATGAATAATTGAAATTTTCCAGGTTGGTGAATGATGCTAGACCAGATCCGGCTGATCTTGCTACTATTCAAAGAGAGGTTGAAGAACTACATCTTGAACTAACTCGATTTGTAAACAATTCTTTGCCGCTTCGTCTCACAAGGATCGTTCAAGCAGGTTGAAATATTCTTTGATTATTGATCCTGCAACTCAGTCAAATCAGATTTGACTGATTATTTGATATTATGCAAAATAAAAAATTATACCCCTATATACTCGCTTATGAGCCGACTCCCTGAAAACAGTTATGAAACAGTAAACTTATAAAAATTCGCGGTTAAGCCAACCTTACATATCGTAACATGCCGTACGCATATATCACAGCAAATGGTTGCAGAAGAGAATCAATAAAATTATAACCATTATTGTTATGTTTTATTTTTAATAATATTGGTGTCTCAAAATCCTCCAAATTCCTCCTCACTAGTTAAGTTAGCATAACGTCATTTCGTTTGAGTGCGATCAGAGTTATCCGCGTATATGTGTGGCGCATATGTTGGCGCCAGGTTCGAATCACATGCAGGGATGGTTATGTGTGAGAGGATTGATGGACTCCTCGCCGTCGTTGGGGGGTTTCACGTAACCGCTGGTCGGTTACGGCTTCCTCTACCACCAAGTCCATGCTTCCGAAAACAAACAATATAACTAATCCCATACCTGACTTGGAATGGTAACCGGACGAGAGGCCGTGGTTCGCCATATGAATAAGCCGTCTTATCGGCTTTCCTCTCCCCCGGGATAAATATGTAAATCCTATCTTATATGTCGACTTTTTTGAGTCTTCAACTCGATTTATATGCCAGGACATACATGAATTTTAGCTAGTTACATGAAACAATTTTTGAGTTAAAAACCCAAGAAGAGTAAAAGAGGAAAGGGTACATACTGGTATGTGGTTTGTGTAATTCTAAAGATAATTCTAATAATTTTTTAGAATCTCACTGTATTTACCCATCAAAGTTTGATGAATCTTTCAACTTTTTGATTTTTATAAAGCTAAGCTAAACGTAGAAACTACAATCATTCAAAAAACAGATATGTTCAGAGTTCGTTTGAAATAGAATTTATTTGTTTTCATATAATATTTAATTATTATTGCAAGTTTGTAGCATGTAGCATTTTTTAATGCAAGATTTTATATAGCATAAATTTTTGTGTGATTTTGGTTTTGTTTCTAAGCATCTATTCCAAAAGTGAAAAAGTCATCAATATTGACAGGATCCATTGGAACTGGAACTATGTGTGGCAATCGGACAGATGTTGATTTTATTTTACTTACGCCAGATCTGCCGAAGAATGGTCATGCTGCCTGGCTACCTGGATTTGTTCATGCTATCACTAAACTAATGTGTGAGGCTGTTGATGAAGGCAAACTTGAGGGATTTTCCGAATTTTATCACAAGTGAGTAATTTTTCATTTAAAACATAGAACAAACAGTAGTTGTGTGGGTCCACTTTTACTGCATTCCAGCGTTATTTTTTCTATAATGCTGTATTCACCTCTTCAGCAAATTATGTTAAGCATGTCTGGTCTCATTGAGAATAAATAGCAGGTTTTCAATTCATCTCAATGATTGTAACTTTGAGTAAGACATGTTTTGAGCCAATTCAGAACAATTATTAGAAAAGTTAACAGCAGGTAATCTGTTGTGTTCTTGGTCGTTTTTTTTTTCAAAACTCAATTTTGCAACACACCTCCAGATAGATATGTTGAAATACAGACATTACACACTTCGCTATAAATAAGTACTTGCAGTCATCACTAGAATTGAATAAAAATCTAGTTTATGCGATCCACCATACCAGATAGATTTGCCAACCCTTGCTTTTATATCGAGCTGACATATTCTTAACAGTAAGGCCTGGCAAGTGTTACTTGCAATTTGTTTGCTTTGTATCGAAACGCAATTGTTGACTTTTTTTATCGTTTCAAAGTACTGAGAGGCATGATGTTAGTCTTTCAGATAATATGCTAAATGGAATTTTTGAGGCCAAAAATATACTTGGGATCAGTTTTTTCTGTTCATATAGTTATCTGCAAGAAATGCAGGAAGAAATTAATACCTTCGAATATTTATTGTAATAGGATAAGAGAGTCATCATTCAAAAGTCACATTACATTCAGACAGGAGATATTCGTAAATCCCTAGAATAAGCTTTGATTTATATTTCAGTGCATACACAGTTCAGTTTATGTACAACGATAAAATTGAAGTGGACCTATACTGGACTTTTGATTGGAATTCTGAAGGTGCAGGAGGATATGATGCTTTATATAATGAATTACTGAAGCAACATAATTCTGAAAATCTTTTATGGTTTTGTTCTGCTGCGGCGGAAAGACAAAAAATTTTCATTGAAGAACAGCCAGACCAGGTTTGTAAATATTTCAAAGAATCTAGTAGAAAAAACACAAACCTAGGTACACGGTATTCTAGAATAAACAAACTAAGAATTATTTTTTCTATGACACTCAATTGCATCTTTTGCTCTGAACCAGGCAATAATATTTAACAATATGTAAGAATGAATATATAGAATTTTCAGAATGTTATATTTTTCCAAACACCAGTTAATACATTTCTATTCACTGAGATACCATAATAATAATAATAATAATAATAATTTTATTTCGATCTTTCGTCTACAACACAAATAAAAAGAACACAGACAGGTCAACTGAAAGATTGGGAAAATGGGCAAAACCTATATAATGGTTTATAACGAACGCTGTAACCAGCGACTGTGCCCATTCACCCACATTCACACACGTGAAACACATCAAGACAATCATACTAGTATAAATTAATGAACAGAGTACATGATCACGAGAAAATAAATTTCATGGGCAAAGCTTACTTGTAATGTTGTAAATAATTTTGATGAGTGAAAGTCGTGATTAATACAAAAATATTTAGAAGTTATGTGACGGTGCCTGTGCCGAAATGCGAATACCAATAATAACAATCAATTGATTAGCTGCTGTTTTTTGTAAACAAATAAAACTAAACAACAAACATAAAACACGAAAACTAGTTTCGGGCGTTGCTTCTCATGTTGCAAAATTGGTTCGAATTCGTAGAAATTGGAGTAAATGTTTTTATTCTTTGCAACGTCCAACATTCCGGAGCTTCCATCTTGTTGTGTTGAACATCAATTGTTCCTATGAATTGTTTCTCTCGCATGAATTTACTGACCAATCCAGTGTCGGCAGCTAAGTCGATTATTTCTGTTTTCTCGAAGTCCCTTAGATTCAATCACTTGTTACAAGTGATCAACGCAATTCTTATCAAAGCAGCTCCAATGTATAAAAGATATAAAAGCTAGTCTGTATTCAGTCCTGTTTGTCCGGTTTTCCGAGTTTTAGTCCAAATATTTTTTACTCCAGTACTCCACCTACCACGTCCGCACCCGACGGCGGTCTGACGGTAAAAAAAGAAAAAAAAATGTGCAATAAATGTGATAAAGAAGTCTAAAAATATTCAAGAACCTTCCCGTTAGGACATTGCTAGAAATGGGTAATATCTTTAAACAATGCAAGCACCAAATAATTGCACACACATTCTAATCATGTTATGTTATAACTAGGCAAACATATACAATACCAAAGTTGTAGTTTTCTGTTTAGTTTGAATCAATTACATGACTAAACTGAATCAATTAAATTTGGGGCTTACCATACGGTTTAGCCGGGACAGTTCCAGTTTTGGCAAGCTGTTCTGCCGTCCCGTCGGTAGAATGAAATCTCTCGGTCATACAGTATCGCAGTTCGGTGTGGGAGAGATAACTACTATAATGTTATGTCCTAATTATTATATATTCAAAATATGTAACTTTATCATCTAATGTTGGCCGTACTGCAGAAAACAAAGTGCACAGTCAAATCAAACGATTTGAATATTAATGAACCTCAGAATCGCCCCAAGGTATGTACAGTTCGCACTGTCTGGGTTTTATGTTTCATATACCTGGTAAGCACAACTAAATCCCAAATTACATATTGGAATAAATAATATATTTGAACAATTTTTTCCTTCAGGTAAAAGACCTTATTAAAGTTGTAAAAAATTGGAGAAACACAGTAGATTGGATTGATGCTAAATGGAAACCTCCATCGTATTTATTAGCTCTACTTCTTGTCCGTGCATATGAGATAGCTTGTCATGAGGTTGAAGGAAGTCTACCAAGTAATCGTACTGTTATTAACAGCTTTGTGAATCTGGTGCTCACTTCGAAAAATGAAAAGTAGGTACTATAAATTATAGGTTCTTAAAGTGTTCCATATGGAGCCCTAGGACTCCACGAGAGAAACCTAGGGGCTTCGCGATCTATTTCCTTTATTTATTAAAATACTGACTTAACTAATTTGTCTAAAGAAGCAATAGCGGCATTAATGAAATTTGACAATGGTAGTGTCTAAGCGTGGCAAAAACGCCGTAATTCAAATATGACATTTTACATAAGTTCTTATTGATAATGCCATACTTCAATTACCGCCTCGTTGCCACAATTTGACACTACTTCATTGATATGTTTGTCATGTGTCAAATTCACTTTAATATAATTTATCTGTCAAGTTTAGATTTATTTCCAGCTTGTATACAGCTTAAATACAAAGTAGCGCATACATCAGACTCGTTAAATAAAGTAGTTTCAATTTACTCTAGAACATTCATCTGTAATTAACGATTTATTGTGGAGTTCTGTGGATAATAGTCAACCTCTTCGTGGCTCCATATTTTGCAAAAGTTTGATAACCCCTGCTTGTAATTTATTTGTATTTTATAGTTTTCAACTTTTTGTTATGCAGGGAACCAAATATAAAACTATCATGGGGAAGATTCTATGATCCCGGAGACTATAGCATTGAATACACAGGTGAAGTAACTCTTCTTTATACTTGTTTGAAATGAAATGAGTGGTAAGCTGTAGGAAAATACATGCTATTTGGGAACATTTGAGATTTATGTTGTGCAACAACAGAGTTGTGTCAATTTGTTTCTAATCCTAATTTTTTGGACCCAATTTCGGTAATCAAGCAGCAATCAGGTCATTATGTCTTTCAGGTTCTTTAAAATTGTAATGGGTCTTATGAACAGTTTGAAAACCGCATGGACATAGGGAAATTACGAACTAATATTAATATGGAATTGAATGAGGATAATAATGCAGATTCAGTAGAAAATTGTCATCGAAATTTTGATCTTTCTGCTTTGTAAAAAACTAGGTTTTCTCACGTACAAAATGGCCGTGTTGGAATATTGCTTCACAGCACTTCTCATTTGAAATTACTTCTACTATATACTTTGAGTGTCTCATGCGGTGTACCTCTTATATATATATGAGGTACTATACCAGCAATATACAATACATGATGTTGTCTAATAATAATTGCATTTAGCACTTTAGTCGGTCGGTGAAAATTGTTCGCAATCGCATTTGGTTTCAAGTTGGGTTATGTAATCATACACAGATCTAGTTGAGTAAATGATAACATGCTTCAGCTGATACAATAATCATTTGAACAGTTTTATTGAAAACAGAACTGATTTCCAAGAAACCTATTGTTCATACATTTCTATAGCAAAAATATCTGCCTATATCATTCATTCAGTCATATGTGTCGATCACCATACAGCAAAATGGTGAATGCCCAAAGACCTGTGCCAATTATCTGCTTGCGATGGTTGGCTGAAGGCCTTCTTCTAAGTATAAGAAATATTTTAAAAGAACCTTATCTAAGCTAGTAAATGACAGCTTTTCTTATAAAATCAGAATGCTGCATGACAATGACAATTTTTTGCAATTAACCTAGGCACTACTGATGGAAACGCAGCTAGTTTTCCACTAATTCAAGACCCAGCAAATCCTCTGAACAATATAGCAGAAAGACCACTGTCATGGTTACCATTTTGTAAAGCTGTGGAAAAGTGGGCTCAAACTCTTGGCATAATGCGGGATGAAATAATGTCACATGTTCACAATAAAAGAATGTTGTAGAATTGTGATTGATGTAATTTTTGTATTTATCTTTTGTAGGTATTTATTTTTGACATTTCAGAATAACCAGTAAAATATATAGAACAATGGTATGATTCGTTCCATGTAGAGCAGTGGTCGACGAACTTTATGTACTATTGGGCCAAATATGCACATTGACGATGTGGCATGTGGGCCGTATGCGGGCCACCTCCTTATAACAATTGCCACATTGCACATTTCTGTTTTTATTAAAACTAAGGGTAGGCACATTCGGTGATTCATATGTGCCTATTTTTGCTCATGCTAACTACCAAAAACAAACTCCGAACAGCAGCCTTTGTTAGGACATACATCTGTGCGCAGATAATAATTTATTTATGCGCAATTTTTGTTTTGTGCTTTAAAAGGGAAGTTCGTTGGAGGGCCAAAAAAAATTGTTTGGGCCCGCAGTTTGCCGACCACTGATATAGAGCATTTAATATTTTGAAGTTGTATTTTCCAATCTGTTTAAATAATCCTGTTAACCCCAGTTCTTACCATTTCTTCTTCCTACAGAGTAAAGAGGCTTTTGAAACCTATCCTTCACAGCAGTATTAGATAAGTTTCTCCAGAAAATATGGAAGGTACTTGCACAAATGGCTTGAAGTGTAATTACCGTCTTCTTCATAAATTATTATCACTTAATTACCTATCCCCATTCAAAAAGAAATCCTGATGCTCGGCGGTGTGGCGCAGGGTGCTAAGAGTCAGTAGTGCGCTTGCTACTGCACCTCTGATTAACCTGTGTGGGTCCGCAAGTTCAAATGCCATGCGGGGATAGTTCTATGCGAGAGAATTGCTGGACTCCTCGCCACTGTAGGGTGGTTCACGTAACCGCTGGACTGTTACGACGTCCTCCACCATCAAGTCTATGCTTCCGAAAACAAATAACTGGCTAACCAATCCATACCTGATATGGATCGGTAACCTGGCGAGAGGCCGTGGTTCGCCATATGATTAAGCCTTTTTTTCCTCTCCCCCGGGACAAATATGTAAATCTTATCCCTATTACAAGTACGTAATTCTGCCTTCCCTTCTTTCTTGTCAAGGATGAGACTTTTCTGTGTCAATATACAATTATAGAATTTCAAATGTAGGATTAGGATCTGCTCTTTATTGTGTAATGTCATTTACATAAAAAATAAAATTTGCACAGTTTTATTTATATATAGACTAGAATACTTTCGGTGTAAAAATACTTTCAGTGATGTATGGCTATAGAAATATTATGGCTTTTTATAGACAATGGATGTGCAATTGTAAGTAAAAAAATAAAATCTACAAAAATAAACTACTTTGATTTTTTCTTCTGTGTTTCATGTTTTGCAATTTTTTCAGGAGAACCAGTGGCACCTTGTAGCTTGCCTTGGGTCAGAGGTGCACCGGTTACATCGGCGGTGGCCTGGCTGATTAACTCTTTCTTTTGAATGTTGCGCAATACCCTCTCTTTGAGCTCTTTGGTCGTCAGTGGTCTACCCATATCAATAGATTCATCGTCGTCTTCATCCTTATCTTCCTCTGTGGAGGGTGGTACAACTACAATTTGTGACAGTGCCACGGGAGCAGCTGTACCGCCAAGTAGAGCAACAGTAGCTGTTGGCGGGGTGCCTGGAACAGGTGCAACATTCTCTGGTTTCGATTCGAGCTCTTTCAATTGGAGATATGCATGAATTTGCAGAAGTTCGTTGGTTTTCTGTTCAATGATGCCGAGATACTGCATCATATTATTTTCATTCACACTATCATTATCTCCGAGCATATCAGCAATTGCAGAACGATCACAATTGATTTTTCCAAACACTGACTCGATGCCGGCCTTTAATTGGTCAAGAATCTTCACACTTGCTTTCAATTGCCTGAAACACAGGTTAATTTATGAACATCGCTATGTCCATCCGGAATTCCAAATCACAGTGGGAATTGTAGAAATTTGTTTACTTTCAATGTTGGTGTATCTAATTTTATATTGTTTTTGGCCCCTTATTTAGTCATATTTCAAACCACTTTGTTAGCCTTGCCAAACCCTTTGTGCACACGTTGTTTTTCATTACATCAATTCATATAAATGCCATGTCCCAATTTTTTCCTTTGGGCTGTTCAATAAAATAAATGGACGTGATGTACTACTAACTTGTCAAACAAATCAGCCTCTTTCGTTGTTTGTTTAAACTTTTCATCCAAACCACGAAGAATGTTCTCCCTTTCCTCCTGGAATTGAACTCCTTCCTCTTTAAACCTTAAACAAATTCACAACACAAATTTGGTTTTCATACAAGAAATATTGATACAGTCAAACAGAAACGCTACTAGTATTAGGGGTAACACAGGGGATAACAAAATGGGTATTAACAAGCATGGAGCAACAGAGAATACTATTTAGTAACTAACATTAAAAGCATAAAAATTGTATGTGAATGTTACCTCAGTACCCGCCAAAATTTTCAGAAATTTTACTGTGTGTCATTAATTAACTAAGGACATAGTAACAATGTTCTAAATTTTAATTAAATATTAAGTTTTATTAAAGAATATTTTAAACAGAAGGAATTACTTCTTGATATTTTTTTTCACAGCATCAATTTGATCTTGAATTTGCTCCAGTTCATTGTTCATCTCGTTAACATAATTGAAAAGTGCGAAGTTTTCATCTTCTGTTTTGATGAATCGAATTACAAGCAAATTAATGTCATCTTCATCTGTGACTTCTTTAATACGACCAAATGCTTTTTGATATATTTCCATTGTTTCTTCGGCTGTCTTTTCTGCTCTGTCTTCCTCTCCTAAAATAAAATAACACAAGTGATTCAGTTAATTGACTATATCATAGTTACTACAAAAGTATTCATTCAGCAAGAGAAACACCTCAATGTTAATTTTCAATACTGCTGAACAACGTTTTCTTACATTTCAAACATTGTGAGATTAGTCAAATTGAGTGCAATTAATACTTAGCAATCATATGAAATTTTGTGTGTCTGAAAATTCCCTAAATACCTGGTAATCGAATGAAAAGTGACAGTTCGGAGCCCAAGTCCGGCACTTGGACTTCTATTGGATTTTACACTTAACCCCTGCCAAGTGATAAAAGAACAGAATATGTGGAGCGATTTCATTCAAAAAGCATTTGCTACTGTATTACCGACATTTATCCAAATAGTATCAACATTTATGAATACAATTGACAATCTGTAGCCTACCACATGAAAGCACGGCAGCACATCAGTTACCTGGAGTTTGATGTTATCACAAAAAACTTCAAGTTTCACCATAAAATGAATTTCTCTCCAATTGACGTATTTTACCGTGGTATCAAGCCATTTTACAAAAATAATGTTTGTATCAAATGTAAAAAACATTTGTTATTTGCACTTCACAAAAATGGGCACTCCAGAAGTGTGTGTACCAATATGGAGGTAACTTTAATTTGTTTGCCTACTTTACAGCAATGTGTAAAGGGATTGAAACCTATGGGCAGGGGCAGGGGGTATATTGACTTGGCTAACACAGACAGTCCCCAAACTCGTAATAGAACTAAAATAGGGAAAATCGGAATAAAATTATGGCCTAACCCTAACCTGGTACACACACTACGGGAGTACCCAAAAATGATTCTATACTGAAGACTGATAGACATTCCGATACTGCTATCACAGGTAAATATAGAAAAAATGAACCTGCTCTTCTTTTAGCTGCTTCTTCTTCCTCAAGTTCACTTCTTTCTTGCGCTTTCACATTCATGAACAATTTTAATTTTGCATCATGGTCAATTATTCTCATCAATTCTTTGTATTCCATATTGTACTGGGACAGATCTTTTTCATTTCTCTCTTTCAGAGCCATCATTTTGACCTAAACACAGTAGGTGTAAATATAATTTCATTATTAGTGTTTTTATAATGCCAGAAAAGTGGTGTTCAACCTTTTCGGTATAGCGGAACCCCAATAAACAAACATTTCAGAGGCTTGAGAAACCCTTGTGCACTTGATTATATGTATATACAGTTATATTCGTTATCATAAAATATGACATTTCAATATTTAATATTTCAATACATTTAAGCAATATACATATAAGAATACAGACTCGGATTTGAATGTAAACATGCGGAAGCCCTGGACTGTCTGAACCCTGGTTGAAAACCACTGTGTCTGAGAAAACAGTGTGGCAACAGCTTAACCCAGAGAAGACTGTGGAGTAGTTTTAAAACTGTTATCCTGTGGTAAAAATTTAAGACTTGGTTGTTGGTAATGGTAGGGCTGATAACAAAAAAATTTCGGGTTTAGCAAACTGTAATTTTGTAGGCCATAATATTAATTAAATATGGAAATCAGCAGTCAAAGAAAATATTTATTGATAAAACTCAAACCTGAGCTTCATCTCTCTGATCATATGCTTGTGTGGATTGTTCAATTATTTCTGCCATGATCTTCTTCTGTTCATTCAGCTCTTTACTCAGTTTCTTGTTCAAATTATCGAAAACAACTCTTTGTGACCTGTACAAATCAATATTTTAGGTAAAAATATTGTTGTGAGGTTTGGGCTTGCCTTGATGACATGTTTATGGATTAAGGTCTTTCTTTAATAGGCTAGTTATATTCAACTGAAATTCCCTATCTCGGCAGTAAGGCACATCGTGCCAAGCGTTAAGAATATGCTCAGCAGCGAACCTCTGACTACCCTGCATGAGTCCACATCCCGTGGGAAAAAATTATGTGCGAGAGGATTGCTCGCCACTGTCCTAGAGTGCTTCACGTAACCATTGGTTGGTTCCACCATCAAGTCCATGCATATGAAACAAATAACTGGCTATCTAATCACATACCCGACATGATCTGGTAGTCAGACAAGAGACCCTGTCACGCCAGATGATTAAGCTGTTCTATTAACTTTCCTAGCCCACAGGATTAATATGAAAATCTTATCAATAGTAATGTAAATCTCAGCTTGTTTAAAATACACAGTAAATGTTTGTGTGAAATGTTTTCTAAAATCAATATGATTATATCTGACAGAATCCTTTACCTGAGGTGATCAATTTCCTCTCTTAGCTTAGCATTAGCTGTTAGCATTTTGTTAAATTCGATTGTTGCTTTATCGAGCCGATTTTCCAACACACGACTCTGCTTCTGTGCACTGACATGTCGAAGATGACTAGAATGCACACCACCCATATTCTTGTGTTGTGCAATTATTTCTTTTTCCATTCCTCGAATTTCTTTATCAAGGTTACGTATACTCATACTCTCCTCTTGAATCATTTTCTCATATGCGTCTTGCTCAGACAATAAATTACGTAACTCATCCATATTTGAATTATCATTTTTATTATTTTGCATAGACTGAGCAAGAATCAAGTTGGTCTGTATGTCTTCCCTTTCCTCCTGTTGAAGATAGCATGAAATAAAAAAATGAGTAACTTTGCTTTAACTTGTTCCATACAAATAATAATAACAGGGAAATGAAAGAAATAAAGAATATGGCAATATCCTGGCAGATTCATTAAATAAGTATATTTTTATAAGAACATTTGTATATACCAGAGGTGGCCAACAATCCATCATGGTCGACCAGCCGATCGTCACGTCTTGAGTGGTGGATCACAGCTTACCGTGTATGTTGTGTGGCTACCCATATTTATTTTTAATATTAAATATTTAGTTTCGCAATCTAGAATCCAGGGTCAACAAGGTTCTGGTCAAAACAGGGGATCATTAGGATCGGTATATCCACAAGCAGCTCTAGAGACTTCAAATGCCTGAACATTTGAAGCGGGACATCCTCATTGACGTTCAATTTAAAATTTAGTATTGATTCATTTTTGTGTTTGGCTTTATTTTATCGGCCGATTGCAAGATATACACCAAGGTATACAAATATGGTAAACTTAACATAAATATCTGGAATTGTCATAGAGCTCAAGTGTATAAATACAACACTTTTATTTGCTTCTGGCCATTCCTAGACATACTTCATTATGAAAGGCAATGTGTAGTAAAACAAATGTGTTATCTTCAAATTTGAACAACTGATAAAAATTTATTACACTTGAATATGTCCTAAAAGGAAATAAAATCTGAAATTTTTATGCTAGGTGAATGTTAATTGTAAAAGCCCTTTGTGTGTTTCCCCGAAAATAAGACCCATTCTGAAAATAAGACCTACCCTGATTTTTCAAAATGATTTTAATATAAGCCCTCCCTCTAAAATAAGACCTAGTCAATAACGCGAATTTTTTTTTTTTTGACCAAGTCAATAGCAAGAAATCTCCTACACGTTTTAAATGATTAATAATCTATGTTTTGAAGTTATTTTGAATAAAATTGTGTTATTTATAAGTAAATGGATACAGGTTTTCATTTTTTGTATATTTGAAAATCATGAATTCTCAACTTTGCATTTTTGTTTTTAATAAATGAAGATATAAGACGCCCCCTGAAAATAAGCCCTAGTGGTATTTTTCGGAGTAAAATAGAAATAAGACCTAGTCTCATTTTAGGGAAAACACGGTAGTATTCTATTTTTTTTTCAGTCTTACCTGTAGAGCTGAAATTTGTGCTCTTTGTTTTCTGATGATATTTTGAGATTCTTCGCAATATGCTTTTCGATCTCCCTCCATTATTCGATACTGTCTTTGCATCTTGGCCAATTCATTTTCGAGGCCATCCATCTCCTGTTCAGAAGTCTCTGAATGTCGACTCGCTGCCCTCTGCATCTCGATGTTTCACCTAAGAAACAATCCATTATATCTGTCAATGTACTCCCATTTTCGCAAAATTTTATAAAATGTCAAATTTTTTTTATAAATTGCGCAACTGCATATTCAAGTCAGCAAGTATTGAGCAGAATGTTTATTCATTCAATTAATGAGACAAATTTAGTGTCATACCTATATAAGTCACCTGCCTGTTACTCTGGTTAATGGAAAGTAGCATGGAAAGTACTAAACTAAAATATATCATCTTACAGTCTTAACATAAAAGTGCTGCTGTTGCTATTTCCACCTCGGTTATGTATAAAATACCAAAATGTCGTCTCATCGATGTAATATTGAAACTATTAAACGCTGATATGATATACTTACTAGTCTAATGTTTGCAAAGATGAGGAAACTTTAAGATAAAAACCTCAGCGAAAGACGCAAGAAGTGCAAGTGATCACTATAGCAATAGATAGTAGTTGCCATGGACAACTACAGCTTGTCACTTGGTGGCAACGGGGTGGAGACGAGAAAAAAATCAAGTTTGTAATCAGTAATCAGTAATTTATTTTTTCACCATTCTAAAGCACACAATGTGAATACACAATACAAGAAATAGGAAATATGGTACTTTAGGGTGAAGGGAGGCGCGAGACACCAAGACTGGTGATCGAGCAGCGACACCCATGTTTGTTTTATTCCAACAAGTAAGAAATCAATCGTACAGAGTTTTACTGGGGAAGGGAAGTTTTAGGATTAGGATTTACAGTCGCGGGAACCAAAGCCGGTTATGAGCAGCGAGACCAAAGGTTCTATTATCTAATTCAAAAAACAAAAATTGGAATTTTGGGATTTCGAAATTACTGTGAGTACCGTACGAATTTGTAGAATCATTGAACTGACATAGATTACTAAAGATAAGTAACTACTAGAGATTATATCAGGAGTCATAACATAAGACCAACGGATTGACGGAGAATTCTCCACTTCAACTGAATGGACCTATTCACGAGCATCGACTTCCTTGCTTACTCCGCGACATTGGCCAATCAGCAAGATGCAAAAAGTGATGTAACAATGCTCCCTTTTCGCATCCGCTCAGACATCTTTCTCGCTCAGACAGATTTCCAAGCGTGGTCGTAAACATTACCTTGTTTTCGCGTTTTTGAACTCTATTCGTTAGTTTTTAGTTGTGTTTCTGAAACTTAAATATAAATCAGATAATCCAATGATCACTCTGTCTTCCTAGAAGTTTCAATTTATTTGCAGTAATAAAAAATTAATGTAGAAATAGCTGTGATAGACTAAGCTAAAATTCTTTACCGGTACTTTTAAAAAACAGATTGTTGTATGCGATGAATCATAATGATGGTTTGGAACACATACCCCGAGTGAGATAAAGGTTTGGATAGGATACACATTTTGAAGTGTGACAGTTGACGATTGATATTCTCAAAGTTACATTTATTAATACACCATACGATTATTACAATTTTTGCTGCATTCAGTATATCGCATATTGTCTACAGTGGTGTTTCCAATGCTTTCTTTAGATCGCTCTAACTGGTAAACTCATTTATTTCTACATATAACCACATGGCCTGGAAGCCAACTGAAATTAATGTTTGTGTCTTCTTTCCCTATATTTGTAAGCCTATAAATTAGTCGCGTAACCAGAAGATGAGAAGAATTAATAAAGCATTCAATGATTTTAAAAGCACCAAGACAGTCGGAAAGAGTCAGCAATGAAAGAGGCTTGATGCTAACCCATTTTATTGCTATACTTATAGAATATAGCCTACTTCGGCAGTGGTCGCATTTGTCAGGTCTCACCCTGTTATAGTAAGGGGTACGTGTGTCACAGTTTGCTTTGTTTTACTGAGGTTGTTAGATTAGAAGATTAAAGAATTCAGAAGTAAGGGGTGCTTGTGTCACAGTTTGCTTTGTTTAACTGTGATTGTTAGATCAGAAGATTCAAGAATTCGGATTTGTCATTCATTGCAAACAGTGGAAATAGCAAAAGCAGCGGACACAAGTAAATAAGCAGCCTGGCGAAGATATGGACACTTGAATAATACATCGACGGTACAGAGTCTATTATCTCTAGAATTACCGCATTTAACCACTCCGCTTACAAGATCAAATAAACCTTATTTATGATCCATTCGCAGTTTCGCTTTACGATAACTGGCACTTGCAAGATTTAGCATCTAAGACGAGCATATCACCAGGACTGGATTAACCATTAAGTAGAATAAGCACGTGCTCATGGCACCGGGGAAAGGGGCACCACAGAAATTTTCAATGGCGCCTCAGTGTTTAATGAAATGATTTGAGTTGGCCAAACGTTTCATACCTCAATATTTTCCTATATCAAGTATATAAACCTCTCTATAAATGTTTGTAGGCATGAGCAAATTTATCATGTAACTTAATCATAATTTGGCCTTCAACCAGTAATGCTTACTGAAACTGATTATTTATCTTCAGATAGCATGGAACACTAGTTTTATCATTATATATTATTACTTCTAAAATATAGGGCACCAAGGTCCCAAAGTGCTCGTGGCATCTGGAAAGCATGATCCGGCCCTGCATATCACGGCTGGAAGGATCAACCCGACAGCGACAGCTGCGCTCAGCCACTGCACGATATCCATGCGCTAGCTTGTCGCTTCCATTTGCAGCCGAGGTCCTCGCACAGCGGCTTGCTGATTAGCATCGCATTTGATGACTGCTTGAGCTTTTACGTTCGTATATTACCCAGAACGACTCCGTGTTGCTTGTACGTTTACTTTAATTCTTTGGAGCGACTGAATGACTTTCTACGCCTACGGGAAGGCGGGGCGCTAAACCATTTGCAGATAATATACTTGAAAATCGTGGCCAGATTTCAAAATTTGAATATGTTATGTTGGCATTTCGAATATTATCTTGGATATTTAACTCATTCTATATACTTCTTTCCGCGTTCTGAAATGAGGTTGAAATTTTTCTATAATGCGTAATTTTTTTTGCAGAGCCGATTGTTTTAACGCGCTACCGTACCTTGTATCCATGTCTTGACATGCATAATAATCTAATTTTCATGAATTTTATTTTTCCATGCTAATATAAAATATATCTAATTATCTTCACAATGATGACATTCGGCACAACTGAATTGGAACTACAATGTGCGACTGCGAACTAGCTACAATTTTTTTGTAAGTTAGTTAGCGCCGTGTCAAGCTATGCAATTTTATTCCGATAAGAATAACGGTAACCAAATAATTTTAATTCACTTATATACGGATAAAAAATACCACAGGATCATGGCAAAAGTTGATTGATATTACCGGCTCGGCGGTGTGGCGCATACTGGTAGTGCTAAGCGTTAGGAATACCGGTACCGGTACGCTCGCCACCGCATCTCTGATTGCCCTTCGTGGGTTCGAATCCCATGCGGAGATGATCATGTGCGAGAGGATTGCTGGACTCCTCGGCGCCATAAGGTGGTTCACGCACCGTAACCGCTGGTCGGTTACGGCTTCCTCCACCATCAAGTCCATGCTTCCGAAAAACAAATAACTGGCTAACTAATCCCATACCCGACCTGGACTGGTAACCGAACGAAAGGCCATGGTTCGCCATACTGCCATATGATTAAGCCGTCTTATTGACTTCCCTCTCCCCTTAGATAAATATGTAAATCCTATCCTAACCGTATACCGGTAAAGTGCGGTGGGTCTCGTGTAGTTTTGTAGGCCCACCAAAGTATGCAGATAGGCCTAGTCGTACAAAGCGCGCAGCCAATCACCCAAAATCGAGCAAGCTATTTCTCTTGTTTTCTCGTCGCAACGATCCGATACACTTTGGCAAGCTCAGTGACGTGATTGTGGCGCCGTAGTGACATAATTTTCGAATGACGTAGTCTGGTTGGGGTTAGGAATAACATACTGACATATGCAAAATTCGTTATGCTACAGTGCTACGCCCACTGGAAGTACTTGTGGTACTAAACTATACTAGACCTTACCTACTAGACTAGGTTTAATTGTAAAGTCGTTTTTCATAGAACATTATCACAATTATCACAAACATTTTACCACAGTCGTTTTGATTTTCATGATATTCATAACCGCACGATTTCCATCGCACAATGCCACACTATTGAGCTATTGGACGAGTAGCGTACTCATGGATTGTTTTGTTTAATTGTTAGTCTTATTATTGGTATGCTTTCCTTATTTTTGTTGTCATGAAAAAAATCGCTTTTCTATTCAACTAATTGACCAATTGCTTAATTGCTTTAAAATTTTCTGTGGTTCAAGATTGTTGTTATTGCTAAAAGGCTATTACCCTTTTTCTCTCTCCAAAATTTCTGAGGGGTTCATGGGATTTGTTTTAACTTTTTTAAAGTTTTGTGTGATGGCTCCATCGAAAGAAAAAATTACGCACCGTCTGACCGTGGTGTGGCAATCTGGTGGTCATCCTAATTTAGGCCTCGCTTCCAAAAAGTTAGCCGAGCAAGATATCAGCTGATTTTTTCACAACAAAAATGCACGCTCTTAATAAAATGCTTTTAACTCATCCGGTGACAGAATATGTTTGATATTTATGATGTCCCAATCAGAAAATAACTTTGATCCAGCGTAAAGTGCGACTGTAGTGATCTGATGAAAACTGGTGTGTGGCAATAACAGGGTAAACTTTCGTTATGTGTCAGCGACAAATATCACTGTATGAAGATACTGTATTTACAACTTTGAAGCAAATTAATCCTCTCTTTTGCAGAATAATAATTAACGCTGACTATCAAAAGTACTAGTACCATTTTAACAATTTCCATATAAAGCAACTGTTCGAATTCCCCAAGTTGTCAAAATGCCACTTCTTGATCATAAGTTTTCATGCATACCAGAAGATAAACGAATCGTGACCGATTCTTTTCTTAATAGCTGTGATAAGATTGTGGAGTTTTTTGAGGTCATGGGCAAAGTTTTCACCCCTGTCAAAAGTGATGTAAGTGGAAATGTTGCAAAGATTCGTAAACGATTTGAGGAAAATCCGAAGAAATTTAGAACTCTGAATGATCTCATCGATACAGAGTTAGCTGAGACTGACAAAGCTCTGAAAGTCAAAAATCAGGGTATTGCCACCAATGCATTGATGTGGCTAAGACGTGGATTGCAGTTCATATCTCTCTTCTTTTCTCACCTATTGAAGGAAGATTATGTGACCAAGGATAATTCGAAAAGAATTTTGAAAAATTGTGCGGTAATGGCATATGAAGGATCATTGAAAAAATACCATGGAATGCTTATCGGCGGAGTATTCAAATTGGCAATGAGGGCTTCACCTTATCGCGAAGTATTCCTATCACAAATTGCTGGTTGTGAGACAGTTGATGAATTTGATGATAAGAAAGAAGAAGAAACAATTCAAGCTATCAAAGACTTCGGTATAAATTTTGACCTGACTATTGATGTCATACAGGAATTGTTCAAGGAGAAAAATGTAGAAAATGATTATACAGTGTAAATGTAAATACTTTCAGATAGCCAATTCTGTAATTGGAGGTAATTGAAAATTATAGTTGTAATTATATATATAACTAAATTGGCTTCATTTTCACTTACAAAAAATAGCACTTTGTGTACCATAAATACAGACAAATTATAATTTCTGAATTATTGAATGCTATTTATCCTGAAAAGGGGAGAAATGAATTGAATATAAGTTGTTCAATTTCTATACCAATATTACTTTATAGTGCATCAAAAAATTAAGAAGCAATTTTTTCTCATTCTAGTTTTATAATTTGCTTAGTTATCATCTGCTTATAAATTGTGTTTTGCAGTGTTTTTGTTATAGGCAAATGTCATTATCGACTCATTTCATTCAAGAAAAGTAACGCGATTAGAAGTAACGGAATTAATATTTGTGAATATATACATACGTAATAATAATTATTACTGTAAGTTGAACTTTTCTCCCAACCATGGTAATTTAAGCACACATGTTGTAGGTCGCACTTAAGAAATGAATTTGTTTTATTGTGATTCGGATTAGATATGTTTTTTGAAGTGCCTTTATGTGAATTTAAAAAATGTCTTGTTTGGGTATCATTAAACTTGCTATATTAATCGTACTTCTAGAATTTTTGTAGCCTCTTGTCTGCTATAATCATTTTATGTTATCGTATATCAAACTCAAGCTTGCCTAGATCAATTATTTAAGCGTTAAAAAAAAATGCTCCTTCTTATTAACAATAATTGGGTGGGTTAAAATATACATGCTATTATTGTGCCATATTTGATGTAGGTATATATAAAGCATATTTGATGCCTTTTGTGTTATTCGATTTTCTGTGAGACTTAAAAGTACATTGATACAAAAATTTTCAGACAACTTAATTGTGCACACTAATGAATTTAATTATTTATGCCTATTTATTCTTTAGGAACTGAAAATTTCTTTGTTTTGTGCCAAGATGGAAGTTATTTGTTGCTTACCTATTATTGTGTGCCAACTACCGTAACTTTGCTTGAGATGAAGGCCATAAAATGTACCAAGTCCCTTTGCCATTCAATATCTATGACTATGAGGTTTAGTTAATAAGTAACTTACCAGGCAATTGAGTTATCGGTGCTAGTTGTGTAAACACAGCTTCTATTTGCTGTCTAGCTAGATTTTATGCCTTGCAATCTAACTTACTATTATGTAGCATCATTATGTTACTTGCTCTTATCGTAAAACTGACACAATTTTGCTGTAATGTGAGTGTATATTAGTACCATGACTTTATGTTTGTAAGAAATTCTGGTTGGCAGAATAATCCTGTACTTGCAATGTAATTGTCATTCTGTCTGTATTGCATTGCTATATCGTAATAGCTGAATGCTTTTTCATGACGTTGTGGTGCTGTACTAATCTGCTTTATATCATGTTACATTCCCAAGAAGCAACTCTGTCAAGTTGTCTAAATCATGTTTATGATATTGTACAAATAATAATTAAAAATAATTTTGTTCATGTAATGTAATGATAGAAAATTCAATCCTAAAAATCAAAAGTTACTTTGGATGTCTTAACATTTGAAGATGGAATCTAAAGCACATATGATTGCTAAGTTGGCCCCAACTTCATTTTTCAAACGGATGCCTAAAAGGAAGCCATATCAAGGAAAGGTGGGTTGGGTAGCATATGGAAAAGATTTTCATGTGTCAATAATTCAAAAATATAGGCTAGAATATTTCATTTCAACAAGATTTAAAGCTGTGAATTTGCCAGTGGAAATCAGTGGTATTACATTTTCATATGCTGAGCATCATGTACCATCTAGTAGAGTGGTTCTGCTACAAATAACAGATAGTAAGGCGAAGAAAGTATCTTTCATTCAAAAAATACGTGGATAGAACGCAAATAATGAAACGTTTTGGAATGTAAATATTCAGAATAAGACGAGCAAGATCAAGTCTAACAAATATTTTATTCTTAATTAGCTTTTTGCCCCCTCAAAAAAATTGTTTATGCCCCTCTTGTGGTGCGCGTCCCACCGTTTGAGATCCACTGATATAGTAATATGTAACTAAATATTAGGAAGTCAAGATCTTTTACTTAACTAAAATTATGCAAGTGTGGTGAATTATTATTTTGTTAGAGCTAACAAAAAAAAGTTTGTTTATTTTAGATAAAAGCTGTAATACTTGATTGGAGTGGGACAACTGCTGATGCTCACGTTTTAGGTCCAGCAGTCGTGTTTGCCAAAGTTTTCGAAAAACATGGCGTGCCGATCTCAATGACTGAAGCAAGGACCCCCATGGGTATCCGGTGAGAAAATATATTAATTTTGTGCGGATTAATTTGGGGCATATTTACATTGGTTCATATGGGCTTTATTGTATTTTGTAAGTGTCATGGATTCAAATGAAAACTCAGAAAATGTGGAAATATATAATCCCTTGAATGTTCAAGGTACAGTACAAGGGTGGGAAGTTATTAAAATATGGAGATGAGGTTGCACATTAAATCATTCGGGAATTCTAATATGCACTATTATTTATATGCACCACCAGAGTTTTCAACTCATTTACAATCGGCCCATCGACAAATCTTGGGACCATGTATCAAAATTCTAGGTTTTACAGATAAAAATGTTTGTTTTGGCATTTTAGAAAAGATCTTCATATCGGGCAGATCTTGGAGAATCCAGATGTTCAAAAGCGGTGGGAAAAGGTCAAAGGGCATAAGCCTGATCCCGAAATTGCAGGAAGTGATGTACAGACTCTGTACAAGGTATTACTTTTTGTTTTGATTGTATTTTTTTTTTTATTTCTTCTGGTGTCTATTTGAGCTGAGAGCTTGTGTTTAAATGAACACGCCTTAAATGTAGAAAATACGAACTTGATGATGAAAAATCACAAATTTGATTTTACAAGTTTATATATTCAAATCTTATATGGATAGAAAAGAGATGGGCAAACTGCTTTCTGTCAAAGCATTTTATAGATCCCCCCGCTATTGAAGAAAGTTGTGAAATGATTTTATAACTACATACAAAATTTTGATTTATTCTCAAACATAATATAAAATATCTGAACTATGAATTGTTAAAATAATGTTGATGTTTTTTCATCTCCGGATCCTCAATAATTACAAGAATTACAATAATCACAATAATTATTTGATGAATATTAACTGGTAATGAGTTACTTTGATTTGTCAAATAAATTTGTGTTAGTTGATGCTGTTATTCCATTAAATTAAAAATCTTTAATTTGGGTTTTTTCTACAATCTACATATTAAATTTTAAAGGTAACTCACTATATGATTTTGCGTTTTAAAAAAAATTAAATACATTTCTCAATGCAATCCTTTAAATGTGAAATCTTTGATTGTGTCTCTTGCAAAAAAACATTGCCCACCTCTGGGCTGTTATGGCTACTTGACATTTAGTAAGTTATCAAAAACTTTTTAATACACCCGTGAAAATTTTGCATACTTTTACAAGATCAGATGTACTTTTTAAAATCCACTCCGATTAATTTTTCATTTGTTCTTATTAAAGCCCATAAGGACTCTTGCTTTGTGCAGTCACGCATAAAAACTAATTTCCTCAGGATTTTGTTCCAATGCAATTACAATGTCTGAGTGAATATGGGCGTCTTATACCTGGAACTGCTGAAGCGTTAAATTATCTGAAATCGCAACTACAAGTTAAAATAGGATCAACTACAGGATTCACCAAGGTTTGTATTAATTTTTATGTTGTGTGCACTATGGATGGTAGCAGTCTCATAGAAAACAGTATATGGTTCCATAACTTTCGCACCCTTGTACAATTGCATCAGTGTAATTACCAGCATGTATTAAACATGAACCACAATGAAGGGATATTGTAGGATTTTATTTATTTTCAATAGTGCAGTACAAATATCCATGTATATAGCTGTTCTTGACTTTTTCTTATGAAATTCTTGTTCGAAGTCTCATGCTAACTCAACACTGACATCATTTTTTTAAAATGGCTTGTCAAATTTCAATACTTTATAGCTTTTTTCAGATGTTTTAAATCAACCAGTGATAATTTTCATGAGCGAGGGGCAAATGTCCGCGAGTGCAAATATTCTTGAGCACAATTGGGCCATAGGTTAAGTCAGCGGTTCCTAAACTTTCCGTCAAATCATCGGAGAAAATCTCCCAAAAAAAAAAAAAAAAAATTGCTACCTTCAAACAAAACTCAATTTTGTGATCTTTAATGTAGACATGTAGGCTTAAAGAATAAAGGCAGTTTCTCTTCTTCCTCATGTCTGTCTGATTTTCATTTGGAATACTGAAGAAAATCACTCTTGTTCGGTAAATGCAATTCAGCAGATAAAGAAGCTCGCAAATTAGTGTATAGCTCTATTGTTACATAACAATAGAGGCAGACACTACGTAACAGAAAGTAAACGACATAGAAAATGAATTTATTGATTCATATACACCGCATTTAAAATATCAAAAGATGATAAAACATTTATAATATACACCATATGTAAAATATTCAATCATATATTAGGTATGTTTAACATACTCTGTTAATTTTCGGGGCGCTTTTTGACAATTTTTGGAACCACTGGGTTAAATAATCATGAGTGTAATATTTTTCAATGAAAATCTGAATAAAAATACTTTTATCTTAGGCAATGGTTGATATTCTACTTAGAGAAGCTGCCAAGCAAGGCTACATTCCTGATAGTTCTATCGGTGGCGATGAAGTACCTAACAACATGGGTTTCAGACCTGCGCCATTTATGCTTTATCAGAATCTATTGAACCTGGGAGTTTGGCCTATTGAATCTGTCGTTAAGGTAAGAATGGAAATTTTTATTTCTTTGTCCCAACAACAATTTTTTTTTGAAAATAAGCTCTCTTTGTGTGCCAGTTACCCTATGCGGGCTCAGTTTTTGAGTACAAGAGCTGCATGCAGCAAGTCAGAAATATGTGAGAGCCTCATAATTATAATTTTTAGAATACCGTGAACAAAAAATAAATTTACACATGAAAACAATAAATATAAAGCACATATCGCGCTTAATCGCAACCAAGTTGCAGTACCGTCAACGCAGCAACAAACATTTGACCATTGTGACGTCAGATTTGTCGCTTGACTTCTCTACCGCTCAATAAATTGGAAAAAAAAACTGTTACACTACAGTTTTCTCTTAGGTAAACTTGGATAATAATTAATATTAGCGAGAAGAGCCGCATAAAAACTCTTGCGGTTTGCCCATCGTTGCCCTATGCCATGGTGTCAAAATGAACAATGTGTGTTGCATGTCATTCCATGTAGGTTCAAATTATTAACAATAACGATCTTAACAGGTTGATGATACCATTACTGGTATAGATGAAGGCCTGAATGCCGGATGTTGGACTGTTGGAGTTGCTGCTTATTCCAATTATACTAATGTAGACAGTCATGAACAATGGGACAATATGACGGAAAAAGAAAAGGAGCAAAGAAGACAGATGTCAAGGTTTGCTTTACCTAATTTTAATCAGTTATTTGATACATGTTTTGTTACTCTTTGAAATTTTGTGATGTGAAGAGGAATTATTGAATCCAACTTCATCAGTATTAGGTAAATATATTAAATCTTAGGCACGTCATTGGCTATGGTTTGCGATGTGGCCGTTTGGGAGGCATAATTTTTCAAATAGTTTTCAGTGTGCAATGGATTGGGAAAACTTGCGAAACCACTTGTGACAATTAGCAGTAAAGTGGTATGCGTGCACAAGCGCTTGGCGCAAAAGTTCCTGAATACTTTTGGGCACGGTTTTGTGTGGTGTCCTAATAGATCAGCAGACCACTCTTATTTGATAACTTGGTCTTAATGATTTCAACCTTTTGTTGATTTGAGATGTTTGACGACCATAGTAAATGAGTAACCTGCACCGCAGCTGAGGACTAGCGGCATTATTTTGTATTTCGAATGTTATGTATTAGATTTATGTTACACGTTTCATGTTGAAGCAGCTAATGTAGTTGCAAACATACATTCAATTTCTGAAATGAGGGAACCTGTTGTTAGTGAGCTCCTGTTCTGAAAATTGTGAATCCCATCCCTGAATAAGACAAAGACAATACATAACATTTCATTATTGTGAACCAATTTTCAGTGAGCTTTTGATAAAGTATGGTGTTTGATTTGTAATAGAGAGAAATTGATGACAAGTGGAGCACATTATGTTGTAGACAGTATTGCTCAGCTTCCTCTTGTGGTTGAGGAAATTAACGAACGTTTGAAGACTGGTGAGCAACCATAAGATGAATATCGCTTAGACAACTAGATTACTTCATCTGGTGATCCAACATGCTTTGATGTTATTATTATCTTCAATTTAATTTTAATCAAGGTAATTTTAACCTAATTTGTGATTTGCTTATAGTACATCTCTACCTATGCATTTTTTGAGATTACTTTTCCTAATAAATTGTATGTTAAATGCATTCGACATTATTTTTGTCTTGCTGCTTATAATTACTGTACCTCAAGTATACCTCTGTACTGATTTTTGCAATAAAATTACTTTCAATTAGAATTCTTTTATAGTACTTTTTATGTCGACTTCTCGCTGACTGACCTAGCCGAAAAACGAGTCTGAAAAATAGGTGGATTCCGCTTTTAATATTTGCAAGATAGTCTGGAAGCACCAAAACATAGAAATTTGCTGGAAGTCGACTGTATACATATTCGAAGCTATGTATTAAAACCTTCCAACTGGACTTATATGAATGGATACTTTTCAATTAAATTATTTCGAGCTATCCACCACAAAAAAAGTTTTATGAGAAAAAGAGAAATATGATATGTGATTTCCTCCAAGTACATCTTGGCAAAAGTTAGGGACGAAAATTTTTTTTTGTTTTGTTATTCAACATGGAGAATGTATGGCAGAAATTAGGCGACTTGAGCGACTACAAAGTTGAATTCACATTCCTCTCATGAAAATTATCACTGGTTGAGTGAAAACATCTGAAAAAAGCTAAAAAGTATTGAAATTTGACAAGCCATTTTAAAAAAAATGATGTCAGTGTTGGGTTAGCACGTGACTTCGAACAAGAATTTCATAAGAAAAAGTCTACAAGAACAGCTAAATACTTGGATCACTGATGCATATTGAGAAGACATTCTAACTATTGCTTCAACTGATGTTCCGTGTGATGTGGATTTGGAAGCGCTATTGTGAATAAACTGCGCGTACCATAGCGTCACAATAAATGTGATCCCATGTGAGTTTACTCAAAATAAGCTAACGCGCACTCGCTAAATAATACATGAGATTGGTCTTTGAGCGAAGTTCATGTCGACATTCGCAACTATAAATTCAAATACGTAGTTGGGGGAATTCAGAATTTGAAGGAAAATATATTGCATCCGTTTTTGACCCATTTGAAGTTGCGAAAGTAATGAACCAACATTCGTCAAAAACTCAAAGTTGTTGCCAAAGAATTTCAATAGTTAATACTACAATGCGTTGTTTCGCAGACAGCACAGTTGGTCATAATCACAAATGTCTCTCTTTCCCTACAATCGGAGTAAACATTTGAAATGACCTATATCAGGGGTGGCCAATACGTCTCGAGTAGTCGATCGCGTCTGATGTTGAGTAAATATAATAACATATTACAAAAAATTGCCTTTAATTAACCAGTTTCATACAGCGCCTGTTGTGAGTTTTAAAACAGGAAGAATATAGTATCCTACTGTACATGCGCAAAATACGATATATATACACATGCAGTAGTTGGGTATGGACAAGTCCGATAGAGCAGCGGTTCCCAAACTATGGGTCGACCCACTGATGGGTAGCAAAAGGAATCTTAGTGGGTCGTGAAAAGGTGTAGAAAGTTTTGAATAATTATACTGGGTATTAGGATCGGTGGCGCCTCGAATACGTAAATCTTCAAATAAACAAAAGAAATTAAATTGAATTTAAATTCTAATCTGTGAAAGTTTCCTTTTTACGATCTTCTTTTACGGCTTTTTTACGCATAGCAGCTTCCAGTTTTGTACAATGTACCGCACTTCTTACCGTGTTTTCCCGAAATTTAGACAGGATTTAGATTTATTTTCGTTTGAAGAATAACGCTATGTTTTTTTTGGAAGAGGTCTTTTGGGTTTATTTATCAAAAATAAAATTACATTGTAAAAAACCACGAGATTTTTTAATAAACATTATATATAAACCGACATCTATTGTTTTTATTTGTATGTCCTATACAAAAATCAAGTGACAAATATCATATATACTTGTAATATCACACAATCTTGAATAGTGGTGTGATCTTCACCTTACCTCAGGTCATTGAACCTTTCCTCTCCCACACATTTTGAATTTATTTTAAGGGTAGGGTTTAATTAAAATCATTTTTAAAATTCAAATTAGGTCTTATTTTCAAGCCAGGTCTTATTTTTGAGGAAACACGGTAGTTTTGCTATGATTAGCCATTGCCGTGTTCTGTGTTATGTCCTAAAAAGTTAAATGGGTCGCCATAATAGTAATATTAGTGGTAATAAATAGTGGGTCCCAACTCTAAAAAGTTTGGGAACCACTGCGATGGAGCATGTTATTATGTGACAACTGCAAGTTTCACTACTGCCAAGTTTTAGAAATGAATGTACTGAATACCATCTGTCTGAACTGGCAAACGATCCCACAACAATTTATGCACTGTACAAAAGTTATTGTCTCACTCAGAATGCCCAATTTTTTCTCGAATTCCAAGCGAGCAAAGAATCGGACTTGAAGAAAATTGTAACTAGGTACTGAAGTTTGAAATGTATTATTTATGGTTTGAGAATATTATTTATTCGCTGTTTAGATAAAACATGGATACTTTGAAGGTTTTTTGAGGAATTGAAAATACTAACGACTAAAAATCAGACAGGCCCTAGATCTGATTTGTATGATATATAATATATACGATCCAAAATAAATGATGAAACATTTACTCCGGGTACAATTACATAATTAACCTAACAAATTGAATGGAGCATAAAAATGCTAATTTTTGTGGCAATTTCATTGCATTCTGGAGTAATAAACGAATTGAATTGAGAATGCGACCGCAGAGCCGAGCTTATTGGCAGCGGTGGAATTTTTGTATGCGTGTGTGCAGTTATCTGCGTATTCAGTATTCATTCATTTTTGTTTATGACATCACTACCGATCTGTCGATCGCGGTCGAAAGTAGGTTGGCCACCCCTGACTTATATGATCAAAATAGTGAGTAGCCTATGATCTTTCCGCTACATTGAAAGCTGTTTCATAAATTTTATGCCTCATTGATATTCCTTTTCATGCTTCGTTTAATGAAGTTATCATTACTTTAGTAATGTTCTCGACTCACAGGAAGGTACTGATACCTAATTAATTAGTTTTGCGCCAATTTACTTTTCTTTGTCCTGGTTTTCAATGTATATTTTAAAACAAAACAGTAGCCTACTGCATTGGAGTGATTTTCAAAGAAAGGATCTCCAAAAGTATGTGCACCAAGATGGCGCACAATCTGAACATAATAGTTGTACCAGGGTAGGGTTCAGGTTGTGCGCCATCTTGGTGCACATACTTCGGGAGCCCCCAAAAGAAATGCTCTGATTTTGCATGTATATGCCGTACCCTTCGAATGCAAAGTGAAGGCTTCCATACTCCGAGGTCGGGTAAGTATTTAGTAGGATCAATCTAAACTTTTAACATTGAATAGTTTTAGGTATTCAGTCACAGTCCATATGAAATCAATGATATCGTCAATAAGTTTTGTACGAGGAATTTGAAGGTGGAATTTCTAACATATTTCAAAGTCTTATGTAATAAAATCTGTCTCTAAAATCAAGTTTTAGAGCAATAACTGGAATGTGATCTCAACGAGATAATCTAGGTCCTTAGATGAATACAAAGATTCTCTAATTTTAATAGAACTTGTCATTAAGAATTATTACTGATGTGGGTGCAGAAAAGTCAATATAATGTGTAATGTTAACAGATTAAAAACGACAACTTGATTTTTATGTGCGGTATTGACTGAAAAATTCAAGTACCTTGCTGGCACCATGGGCACCTTTCTTTGCTTAGTGTTACTCTGATTTCCATTCTGTTATATTATTTATTTCGTTTACGGCGTGTAATTTTCTACAAGTTCGTTCATTCTCCACTAGCAACCCCCAATTCTCCACTTATCTACCGATTGGAAACTACTGCTGTAAACAAAATTAGTTGAAAAGCTTTGAAGGGGTTGGTGTGAGGATGGCGGTTTTGGTGATGACTATTTTTTGCTGTCGCCGTTTTTGCTAAAGAGTTTAGGCCGGTATATTGTCGAAGAAATGAGGCAAATGGGGGCGTGTTTTGCGTCGGGTCTGGACACAACGCCAATACTGCACTATTGACGGCACGTTAGCTATGTATCCTCGGGCCTTGCCGGTGGTGGATGACCTCGGTCCTATCCTACATTCGAAATTTCTTTGTAGTCTGGCGCGGCTTGATGGTACGTTTTAATTTTGCTTTTATCTGGTGCATTATGCTTTCACGGACATATATCCTAACTTTGGCATACACCGTGGGAAGTGCGATCCACGGATTGATGGTTTTTGACCTGTCGTAGCTTTTGATTCTTGCAGTGTATTGCAGGAACGCTTTTTATGATGGAATAAGCCAGTTTGAATTTTAAGGACTTCTTTCACAATACTCGAACGCAAAAATAGGCTGAGACTATAGGAATACTTGTAATCTGTGTACCATTCTAACGTTTTGCGGTACATGAACGCATGTCACGTACATGTTTTTACCTTTGATTTTGTTTACTTTACAAAGTTCCGTGTATCAATGGTACCTTTATGAATATAGATCGATAAAAAAATAAAAATAAATTTATTTCAAAATCGTATATATTCAATGTCCACCAACAAGTGCGTAGTTGATGCTGTTTTTCTTTATATATATATCTCGAAGTAGAATTTGCACATTGAACACTGAAAATTTGTCACATAAATGACATTTAATAACGGAATCGGGTTTTACTAAAATACTTCCATATGTCCTAACTACGCTGCATATCTCTTGCAGCAGAGCGATCATGGAGCTATCTTGATTCGTGAATAATTTTGAGCGATATCGGGATAAAATCACGCAAAATTGCTTTGTAACCATTGTGACGCAACAAGCTAAAATTATAAATTATTACGCGAAACGTCACGGTTAATTTTACCCGGTTAACGGTTAAAGTGTTTCCCCGAAATTCCCGGCCCTAGTATACACACGATTCACCACAAAAATCTTGTGAATTAGCAGTAAAAATATAGATATCTAAACTAACCATGGTCGCAGGCTCGCAGCATGTATACAAGAACTCGATGCTACTTTGCAATTTGTTCTTTACGCGCATATAATGACCTTTGAAAATATTTTTCGTTTATGAACTTGAATTGACGGCAACAACAATATGAAATAACAACAAAGCAGTGTCTTCAATATATGACCCACCATCATCTTTTAAATAATAAAATTCAATCAATCGTTTATTTGTCATCGCAAAAAACAAGTGTATATATATATATAGAAAACGGATAAAACAAATAAATATATATAAGTTCGTGGCAGGAGTCGCGAGGGTTCTAGAAGGGTCTTCAAGCAGTGACACCTGCAACGCTGATGCAGGTTAGCATAAAAAAAAGTAACTAAATGAGGAACAGCTACTGAATACCAGTAGTTACAACAGTAAACATGTTTAAGACTATTTTAAAATTATGTTACCATTTCGGAAAAATTCACTCAGAAACCAAGAATGGTAGAAAAGAATTCATTAAAAAAGATTCGTCTTCCCGGTATAACTTCTTGATTTTGACGCAGTTAATAAATATAGAAACGATGTGTGATATAATTCATTAAAATGTAGCTTTTGCTCACTTAAATTTGCCTATCCCTTGTTATCTTTATCTACAGTATCTACACGAAAATTTTACATAGGTTGATGAAGCAGAGCAAAAAGACACTGAAGTTTATGTATGCACGATTAGCAACGTGGGACAGTTACTTGAACCATGAGCGTGTAACGCCCGCTTACTGGGGCGTATGGAAGACTTGCGCACAACTTTAATGACATCATTTATTATGTTGTGGAAAAAAAAAGTCGTCCCTAAAGTGTACGTTGTTTATAGTGAAGATCGAATTTTTCAACTGTATTAATTTTATCTACGTTCTCACTGCATAGAACTCGTCAATAAATAAGAGGTAAGGTGGCAAATGCGACGGGCAACAATAAAAAAACATAGCTTAAGGCGGTTTTATACTGGGTCCGTAAGCGGAACGCAATCCTTCCTAATTCATTGGTTTAAAGTTTAAACAAAGGAATAGTGAATCCAAAAAGTAGAAAAGCGACTTGCCGTATAGCCAAGCATGACCAGTTTACGAACGTAACTATTTAAAGACGTAAAATTAAAGACGTGTTCCGATTTATAAAACGCGTTTATCGTAGAATTTCAGTAGCTCATGAAAAAGACAAACGTGCGCGTTTAAACACCGGCATTGATGTCGCGTGCGAATGTTTTGTATTATCCAATTGAAATGTTTACATTGGAAAATGTTAGTCAGAAGATTCAGTTTATAGCAACCTTTTTGCAAGCGATAGGTACAAATAGCTGGTCGCATTCGGGGTTATTGAAATCACTCTTTATCGACCCCTTGATTTCTATAAATTCTCTCTATGTTCTCGTGACCATTGAAAATTCTATCTGTCTATTATGTAGGTATCCATTGATTTAATATTCATATTGTATGCGATAAATAGAGTACAGTTTTCAGGGATAATCAGAAGAATATGGACCACCGCAATTTGTATCAGAGGATATTTTGACTAGCAGCCATATTGATAGTTGAGGTTTTGAAAAATGAAATGGTGCATATAAACGCCGAAATTGTGAATTTTACTTAGTTTTTGAAGTTTTTGGTCAAACTTTACATACCTTCGAACCGAACAAAGCAATAGTAAACAGACATATACAGTATATATGCATAATAAAATCAACAGAAATTGTAGAAAAATAAAACAATTCAGACCACATAAACTTACTATTACGTTGCATTGCCTGATATTATTTTTAAAAGGTTTCTTATGCTTCAGACAAGAGCTTTGACCCGGGGGTTAGATTTTACAGGAGTATGATATATTATAATATATATGTTGAGACGTACTCAACGACTGTTGAGGAGAGAAAAACCATTTATCAAAATTCACCAAAAAAATTTGTAAGGATTTCCACGTAAAATTATTAATCAGAAGCAGTCATATAAAGTGCATCGCTCATCTGAATATTGTTTTAGCATGGGAAAGAGACACAAAGTGTTTCTTTTACCCAGTTATACCAGAATTTTGCTGACGCTGCAGTAGTCATTTTGCCTTCGTGAGTTTGCATTCGGGCATGGCTTGCTTTTTTCTTATATTCCATGTCGGTTTTGTAAAGGAGATAGAATATTATGTCTTCTCAAAACCGTACGCTGATCGACATCGGAGATTATCTTGTAGTTCATTCCCAGAAATGGCAGTTCAGTGTGATTCCAATGTATGTATTGCGGTATATCATGTATATCATGCAGCTTGTTTCGAAAAAATTAGTCTTATTGTGAGTTGAAGAATTATTGACAGATTTTTACAAATGTATTCATAATATTGTTTTTGAACAGAATCTGAGAGTAACGGTAATCAACCTTTTAGACATTTATGCTTAGTACTGTAAATGTGAAGTGTACATGTGGGAAATCGATTCATAGCTAAGACAATTAGTCTATTATATATATAATCAGCCAAGTAAGGGCCATTGATAAACTGAGATAAGTTTTATCTGTCGTTATTTATAAAATTCCTTTTTTATAGTAATATTGGATTATGTTTCAGTTCATGAGATACGTGATTATTCTCCAGTCGTAAACAGTCGGAAGGCCGTGACGATATCGACCTGCTTTTATGTTATACTATTTATACATTTAATCCATGAGTATGGAATACAAAAATATAACAACGATGCCATTTTTAAACCACACTGAGGAAAATACAAATTCATTTGCATCCATGCCAGGTTTTAAAGTGATTTTTACGTAAGTATTGCTTTAGCAAGAATCTTCATATTTTCTACATTGCGAGTAATAGGTTTCAATTTATGTCGTTTTAAGATAATAAACTTTCTCGAAAGTTTTATTTTAAAATTTATAAAAAAAGAATATTGTTTTTTCATACTACCACTGCCCTTGCAAGGTTATATAACATCCGCAGTATATCATTAGAACATTGTACTTATCTCAAATTGAATTTATCATAAAACCTTTCAACGAAACTGGTGGCCATAATTATTTCGCCTTAATAGACCAAACAGCATCACAGCTATACAGTCATTAAATCTATTTTCAGAAACTTAATTAGATTTCATTTTTTTTTTTTTTTATACATGATCATTTAATTAATATCGCCGTTTTTATCCGATTCTTCTGTGGGGATTTAGTCCGATGTAATATTGTACGGTCAAATAGCTTAGTACATTTTAGCCTCCGGATATACATTTGTTTTCCTAAACTTGTTTTTATTTTATTATTTAAGTAGTCCGAAAGAAAAACAATGTTTTTTTTTAATTCTGAAGTAAAACAAATAAGTAATGTGAAGGTGACATGTTTAATACTATCGTTGTTCCATTATACACACCAGTAAAATCGATTTTTCAAAAAGTTTTGATACAACATTAAATCTTGTCTGGAACTATTGCATTAAAAACGCTGTTAGGTATATGCGTCATAGATGTAAAAGTCCGTACAACCTATATTGATGTTTTAGAAGTGCTCGTGATCTGGTATAATTCTCATGGTCATTTCATATTCCCATTAACTACCATGGTATAATATATGTTTTATTATCAGCCTGATTCTCATTGTGATTATGTTTGGAATGGGATGTGCTGTGGACCATAAAAAACTCATAACAAATTTGAAGAAACCTGTAGGTATCAGCGTTGGACTAGGATGCCAGATATTTCTTGTTCCAGGTATTTCTATCAAGTTGTTGTGTTAAATACTTTTTACATTGTATGACTCCCTCCACTAAATTGTCTCCCATTCGATATATTACATAGAATTTCAAGAAATAATGTCACGGAATGTAATAAAATCAATACCTCATTATTGTCCAATGCATTAGACAAAAAGAGGAGTCATATAACATAATGAGACATATCCACATCCGCAATCAACAACTTCCTAATCTGAGCGTGGGTTCTTATTCTAGATGCATAGATGATCTTGCTTGTGGTCTTTGCTGAATAAAACTGAATTGAGAGCTGTTTACAGATTAATATTAATAAATTCATTTTTCTGCAATAACATATTTGTAACTGGAACAATTTAATCGCGAAATATTAATTGAAATTAAATGTTGGTAAGCTATTGAATGAAGTAGACAGGAGTAAATAAAAAAATATGTGAAACAAAATAAGAGTACTACTATTATCCGCCTATACTTTGATTATACAAACTATGACAACAACATGCGACTGTTGTGAGCTTTATTATGAATTTTGCTTCAGAACCCCAGGCCCCAGCTCTCCGGGTGAAATTGATGACTCATACTCCGGATATAGACTCCAGAACACCTAATTTTTGTCAATGCAATTATAATATTCATAATTAACCAACGTGCAATTCTCATGTCCAAATTACAGTTATCACATATGGATTGATAAAATTGTCATCGATGACACCTCTTCAAGCGCTAGCTTTAATGTTAGTTGGATGCAGCCCAGGCGGAAGCAACAGCAACGTCATAACGTACCTAATACATGGAGACATATCTCTGAGGTTTGTTTTTTAACATGTTCCATAAAAACATCGTCAGATTAATTTTTTCTTAACAACATTTAGTAGGTTTCAGCTTTTGGATCGATAGGTTTTCAAGAATTTGACATCGTTTTCTGACACACGAATCTTGCGTGATGTGAATAATTTTTAAAAATCCCCAGTTATTACATTTGTTAATAATATCGTTCAAATGTGACGCACGTTTCAATGCGTTTCATTTAGTATAATTCCAAATTTCAATACTTGAAGCGCACAATTCTAAGCGCAAACATCAGTCAGACTATTATCGAGTTAATTGTAGAAGTTAACGATCAGATGAGACGCTTCTATACGTTGTCAGCAACCACAAACCGAAGTTACAGCACCACTGAACTGAGCAATATTGTCATACCCATCACATAAAATTAAATCAAGTTGGTCAGGCTGGTGAGCCAGACAACAGAAAGACTTACAAATATTCTACACCTTGAATTATCAAACGAGGCCCCTAAGCTTCCTAGGAGGTCGTGTTCGAATATATCAAGAGAATCGAATAAATTTGTAGTTCTTAATTTAATATAGCAATGACTGAACTACTATTGTGCTGAGAATCTCGAATGAGATCGAAAGAATAGAATTCAAAGGGGGTGATGTTTGGAAAGTAAAATGTCTATATTTGAATATGATATAATTATTTTCGAAAGCATGAAACGATTTGCCTAGGCATCGCTAATACCTTTCCTCTCTTGATATTCATACGAATTCATGTTATTATAATTTATAAACAAGTTTCATAAAATCGAGAACCTGGAATCGTGGAAGTCGCTATAAAAATGTCTCACGTGTAAAGCTGAAAACTTCACAATGCCAACTCAGGATTGAATGATTTGCGGAAAATATGCAACAGAAAGTTTCATTGATACAGACATTGATTAAATCTATGACTCACATTCTTCTCCGTGATAAAAAAAATGTGCGGCCGATTCATTTAAAACTGTCGTCGGCGAACCGCGACCAATGATATGAGAACTCTATGTCCCACTTGGCCGCAACGCTGAGCATTCTTATACAGCAGAGCGGCTTCGGGAAATATTGAAGTGTCAGTATTTTGCGTTTAAACATACCAGCCCCTTTTGTATACGGGAATTGAATCATAAATGAGCCCCGGCGTGGCGCTCATGGGACGATCGATTTCATATGAATGTATTCAATTTCTAAGATATTGGGGTGGGGGTTGGGTGGGGGGGTCTGGGGCTGTAGAAAATCAGCTCTCACACTCATACTATATCCGGAATCAGTCATGAACTTTGATGTTTGACTCCGCCTTTTGGTGAGGTGCGACGTCCGTGCAGAGCGACGCAAGCTGTGAGATGAAATTGGTTTTAAGGGGTGCAAACTAAATTTATACTATCTCCGTCTCTCCTTTTTCAACTTTAGCCTTTCCAACATGCGAACCACTTTCTGTCATTTTTAGCTTTAGTCCACTGTGAAATATATATTCATAACGTTGACGAGTGGGCGTGACTTCCTAATCTTGCCATGGAGCAGTTGGAAAGTTTTGGTGCTTGTGAGAAACAATGGACTGAGGTTCAATAGGACATGCTCCACTAGGCAAAATTCGACAGTGTTCAATCCATTGAGTGATTAGGGGCTCAAAGATGTGTATGTTTTGTGTGATATTAGGATCTCTTTTGGCCCATGGCCCAATTTGGAATATATTCTAGATTAAAAAATATTCTTTCAGAGTGTATTATTTGCTTCTGGCCAAAATTGAACATTTTCCTTGTTAATATATAAATGATTTTGTTGTGCTATTGGACGCAGTGAAAAGTTAACGATTAAAAAAATACACTTTTGTTTTTTGTTCTTTTTGAGCACTTTGAAGCGCATACTTATTGTTTATAAACGTTATTGTCGAGAATACAAGTTTCAAAACTCATTTTCAAATAATTGAAATTAAGCATAAGCAGTAACTTTATTTCAGATTTAATAATGATAATCTAAAAAACATTGTACAACGGCAGACTCTTTAGATACGTATGTCGCCAAAGTGGTTTTATGTTGACAAGGCGCACAACTTGTTTTAAGAATTTTTTGGAAAAACGTCTGAAATATTTTGGTTGAACAGTGATTTTAAATACCGTATTTGCTCGTTTAATAGCCCGGGCGCTTATTTTTTAAACATACTCACTAACCGGGTCCTCATTCAAACCGGCCCTTATTCAAGCAGGGGCGCTTGTTATTTTTAAAGTAAAATTACACACAAAAATACCGGTAGATAAGATCGATCGTTACAATAATTAATACCGTATATTGTCATTTCCAGTTCTCAAGTATGATTTAAACGAGAATAATGAAAATTTTGACTTTTTCTACGCACCGCATGTACAAATCCGCAAAAAAAAAACTTTTACACCGGGCGGGTATACAAGCACCGGCCCTTATTTATTTTTATGTCCTGTTCACACGGGCGGCTATTCAAACGGGCCCTCAATCAAGACCGGGCGTTAAAACGAGCATTTACGGTATATTAAATCTCCAAATTTGAAGTTCCACAGTTCTTTGGGTGATGATGCTGATTCGTTGCTAATGTTTAACGGCATATTTCGTCGAGTTCAATAGACTGCTTCATTCAATCGATCATTGTGCACCAGGGTGTGTCCAAATGTGCTCCAACAGTGGGGTGAAGTGGAACACTTGACAAACGTTTTTCGAATCATTTTGTGGTAAAATTTGTGTCGCTTGGAAACTTCATTGACGGTGAATAAAAACTACATTTACCACTCTTTGCATTAGCCATGCAATGTCGAAAGACTGTTCAGGTTATTGGGCTCAAAAATGCAAAAGAAAAATAGTGTTGCAATCTTCCCCTTTTATTGTATATTTTCTAAACGTCTGGCCTATATTAATTGGTAGTAAACAAGAGAATATTTATTTCAATTGAAAATCAGTGTAAATTACCACAGCACGCGTTTCATTTTGTTCATTTCTTGAAGTATCATATTAGTGTTTTTGTTTAATATATATATATATAAATACAAGGTGTCCCAAAATAAATGACCGAAAATGATTCATTGCTTATGGCAATAATGAAAAATATCAGTACTCAATAACAAGTTTACGACATATACGCCACACGCTGCTCTAGTGTTATGGGGCGTAACGGTACATACATACGTATTCGACCGTTCGTGGCGGAGGAATTCGGACATGGACAGTCAATGATGATGACATAATCAAGCTGATCGCTCATATCACGAGGAATGTGTCAGTAACAAAAATAATATTACCCATCATTTGTTGTAGTAAACTCAAAGAGACTGATAAAATTAAACTTAGATAGCCATGTTCATAAACTTATTCTATATTTTTAGTGTTGCAATGACGTCCTTCAGTAACATGCTGGCTCTGGTTACAGTTCCAATGTGGCTTTTAATTTTTATGTCAATTGAACATATGGACGACAATATCAAGATACCGTATGAGTCACTTGGTAAGGTCGAAAGAATTTGAGATATTTCATAAATTATTCCCTTTTAGCCGGGAAACAAATGGTGAACAATGTAGTCGACAGAAAATGCTTGAAATTGATGCTGAACAGATCAGTTCACAACTTTAAGGGAACGATGTAGTTCACCCCATGTATATTCTGATATTCTACATTAAATAAATACAGAAAATCCAATAATTGAAAAATTTAAATAAGATAGAACTTTGCCTGAAATTGTTAAAATTCTATCAGGCTAAACAAAGTTAATTAAATGTAATATTAAAAGGTTTAATATTTTGAAATCACTCTGTCGCAAGATCAACATCAATAAATTGTAGTGAAAGCATTAGCGCTTCACAATAAAATAACCAATAGACATTATAGAATCTTTAAAAATGTCCACATTAAACAATTTGTTTTATTACTTTACAGGCATCACTCTTTTATCTATTGCAATTTCGATAATTCTTGGAATGGGATTTCGTTACAAATATCCTCAGCATTCCAAAATTATTCCAAAAGTAAGTAATTTGTAAATAAATGAGTGAACTATTTTGCATCACCTATTAGTCATGAATGTCCTTCAAACTGCATCTATTTCAGTTTCGTATGCTTTAGGTCCTTGACATTTATTTAGAAAAACTGGAAAATGCGGAACGAGAGAAAAACGACATAGTCTGGATTTTTATTAAGCTTTGGCAACGTTACTTTTTTATCTTCTTAGGTTTGTTCTGGAATCGCTCTTGTTATATTACTAATTACAATTATTGTTCTGATCGTTGTGACGAAAGTAGAATTCAAATTTGCAGCAGAAACAATACTGGTGAGAAGTCACATTTTATTTCTTATTTTCAAAAATTTGTAACGTAATGGCCGACAACCTATAGCTATATAGCTTTACATAGATAAAAGAGACTTCGAAATAGGTCTTTAGATATCACGTCAGACAATTTCAAGCAAAGCATGTGTCATGAGGAATGAACTGAAATATAGACAGCGCATTCTCTATCTATAGTCATCTATTCTGCCACTAACTGCAACTAGTTCGGGTGGTATTTTTTCATTCCATATTCATGGAATTTATGCGAGTATTCTTTTGCAGCCTACGGCATTTCTACCTATCATTGGAATGGTAATTTCGTACCTGATTGCTTGTATTCCACCGTTAAATTTACAAGGAAGATCGAAAAAAGCCATCGCAATTGAAGTTGGGATACAAAATAGCGGATTGGCTAACTCAGTATTATTTTTAACTTATGGGGACAGACCCCAGTGTATAGCAGAAGTAATAACGATTCCTTTGATCTATAATATATTCCAAACTGCATACATTTTTATAATAGTCTCTGGCTATCGGATTTGGTTTTGCCAACGTAACAAACGACAGCAGGACGAAGAAAATGTTGTCGGAGTTGCGAATGATGACAAATATGAGAACCAGCAAGTGAGATTTACGGAAGCAGATCCATTTTGCACATCAGAAAAGGCGTAGAATACCATTTTACCTACGTTCCGCTCTTACTTTTAATAATATTTTGGATATAGCAGTATAATGATGATATATTATCGATAACTTCAATGGATTTTTCTATGTACAAAATATATATGTTAGCATGTTACTTGTTAATAAAAATTTTATTATATCATGTTCCTAACCACGCCAAAATTCAAGTTTGATTTTTAAAATAGGATTAGTTATCGCAACATAGCAAATTATCAGGTTCTAGCAGTTATAGTCTTGTCACTTCAACAAGCGATTTGTTTACTATGTTGTTTTCGGAATTTATTTGTATCGTACTTGTGACTGTAAGATGCAATAACCATTTGAGAATTTAACACCTGGCAACGTTAGTTGGTCACTAAACAACGTTTTATTCGAATTTGATCTTTACGACTCACAGCCGGATGGAATTATGGAACTAATCATAATGGATTTACGAGCGAAGCTCTAATAGGTCGTACGTCCTGTCATTGGTGGTAACTTACTCCGATGACCGCATGGTCGTATCGTTACCACCCATAGTCTGCACCGAGAACTGTTTTGCTTTTTAATAATTATGTTTTTTGTTGTGTATATGTTTTCTGGTGAACAAAACAAATAAACTCTCTCTCTCTTATTGGTCATGGCACCTCAATCCGAAGCCTCTAATGCTTAAGCGTTGCTGGATATACTCCAAGTTCCCCATTTATTACATACTCAATGGCGTCGAATATTGTCGCTCATAAAAGCGTAATATATGTTTGAAAATGTTCGATAGTGGAAAAACTCCCAAATGGGGTACGTGAGAACTACCTATCCTTCTATGCCAGTGGTTCCCAATCTTTTTTGGCACATTGGCCTTTTGTCAAAATCCTAATTCCTCCCCCACTACGCATGAAATTTTATTTGTATTTGTTATTCTTCATTTAACGAAACATTTTCTTGAGATACGTGCAACTCTCAAACAAGTAACTAATTAAGGAAGAACCCCCCCCCCCCCCCCCAAAAAAAAACATTAAAATTCCTCCCTGAAAAAGAAGTCCTCTCCGGTTGGGAAACATTGTGCTAAGGTTATGCAATCTGATGCCTTCTAATTCGTCACAATCTGAAGTAATAAAACCTGTAAATATATGAGTTGCATTCATTCATTATAAGCAACATAAATAGTTAAAGTATATTCGATGTCTGTTAATTTTAATCTCTGTTACACTTTCTGAATCAACATCATCATCATCAGCAGCATTGCCGTTCATATAACATTAAAATAATCAAACTGAAATTGTGTATACTATAGGGCTCGGAATGGTTAACCGGTTAATCGATTTTAGATGGTTTACGGTTACGATTTATTTTAACCGTTGAGGTCTTCAAGTGTATTTCGTTATCTGTTATTTGGTTCAATTTGATTGTGCAACTTTACAATATACGAACATTTGGCATTCAATACATTGTGTGCATTGTTGAACTCTGAAGTAGTCCAGATTGGGTTTACATTCAATAACTTGTGTTCAATAACACGGGAATCGGATATATATAGGACCGAATCTTCTCCCTATACTGGTACCAATCATGAGATAGCCATACTAACATTGTTTTACACATGAATAAATTGCCGTACAGTAGTCCTGAGTCTTATTATGTTGACAACCGCACTTGTGTCGGTGCCTGATTAATTAATACTTCGTTAAATAAACATTAAATACTGCAACGCAAAATTTTGATCAAATATTGTTTTTGTACTACGCTGAACGAATGTAAACGTGCATAATGGATTCCTCAATTTGTAACAAACAGAATTTAGAACTCGAGTGAAATGGCGTAGACTCGTTATCAAATCTGAGTTCTTTGAATCAGCGAGTTTGAACAGATGTTACTACTTTGAGTCCAAATGATACTTTGACAAGACTACCTTATGATCACCACTTCGCCCAATGATTAATAATTCGAGTATACAGTTTCAATACGGAAATATTCACACCATAAATTCAAAGTGGAAAAACGAATTCAACAATAGAGCACACAGAATTATTTTAAATAAGTAAAGGTAACAGCTTCCTATAGCGACAACAACAATCTTTAACCGATGAATTCGAAAAATTTGATCCTGTGTAGTTAAACAGAAAAGCGATTTTTTCTCAACAAGTTCCACAACCAAAGGCGTGCAGCCCTAAGGGGTTCGCAGACTCCAGTTTGAGAATCACTGGTCGAGGCCAAAACCTATCAATTCTAACACTTGATAATTCTTGCATTCTAACTTGGTAATACATTCGAACATACTTGTATTACAAAGGCTTGTATTCGTACTAAAACCAAGCGCTAGTCTTAGTCAATATTTCACGAATTCCAACTATCTTCACCATTTGTAACAGCCATTCTTTGTGACCTGGACCACACCGATTACACACTGTAAATTTATTAACAGTTCAATAATGTGGTCTTTCATGTCTTTTTATCCTCGAATCCAGAAAATCACACAACTCGAAGTATACAGTTGACACAGTTATCTTAAAACAAACCCCAAACAAATCAGGAAAAATACTCGCAGTACATAAATAATCATAAACCCAATACGGCCTTCAGGAAGCCTACTCAAATTTATGAACACAATTACCATAAGTTCAACATGAAATCAATTCGTCAATAAAGTTCAATTGAATAAACTACAACTGTATAAACAATTACAAAAACAATCTAATGCTAATAAAATTATCTTTAAATTGGGTCCATGTGAACCAACCCTATACATTATTCAATCGTGCCTAGCGCGCAACAATCTAATGTCAAAACAGAAAGTCAAGACGTTGGCATGGCAAAGAGGGATTTTTCTCATGCAACGCTGCCTGTACTTGAATATTATATTTTGAAAAACTGATGCATAGTTATGCCCACAAATACGTTAGTTGTTGTTTACGATTCAAGTTATAGATTCAGTGATCCCGTGTGTAACAAAAATAGTTAATGCGATACGAGGCATGAATAGGACCAGAAACACTGACATCCCGATCAACCGCAATATCATCTGCAGTATTCACAGTGCAGTGTAATTTGCTTTATGGCAAATATTCCGAAGAATTACAAATACGTCATGCTTTCTATGGCCGTTGTCAGTTTTCGACTGATTTCTATTTTCTATTTTAAAAATTGTTTGAAAGCTTGCGCGTTAGCTTTATTTCGGGGAATATGAGAGAGTACTCGAGTTGGTTAACTATATGCGCAATACATCACTTTATCAGGGAATCAGTGGGTTTCGAAAACATTCAAATGTTTGATTGAATATTATTAATTGTAATTGTGTAAGTGTTTTCGTGTGAGAGTGTATAAAACGAAATATCATAGGATAGGATCGAATTTACATATTTATCCCGGTGGGAAGGAAGCCAATAAGACGGCCTAATCATATGGCGAACCACGGCCTCCCGTCCGGTATTACCAGTCCATGTCGGGTATGGGATTAGTTAACCAGTTATTTGTTTTCGGAAGCATGAACTTGATGGTGGAGGAAGCCGTAACCGACTCAGGATACGTGAACCATCCTACAGCGGCGAAAAGTCCAGCAATCCTCTCGTGATTCATCGATATTTCACAATTTTCAGGTTTAAATATTCCTGATAAGCTGTATCGTTTTCATCCAAATAATTATGATATATATATACTGTTCTTTGGTGAGGTAAAATCCTCAACATGAATATAAGATCCCGGTGGTGCTACTCACTACCACATCTGCTTTAGTAGGTCCCTACATAACAGGAACCAGCACGTGTGGTAAGGTGTTTCTCCAGAACGTTTCAGTAATATAATAGCGACAATGAATACCATTCTCAAAAGCTAATTAGAACATGTATTGTGTTATCATTTCTCGCAAATTTCCTCAACATCTGGGAACAAAGCATTTTACATATTTGATATCCTTATATATAGTAATATAGTTTATCATACCCTCAAAATATCCATTTGAACTGCAAAATTGTTACTGAAGTAGTTGATATAAAATTGCGAATACATTTCGTATTTCAAAAAATTCCCCACGGCCCTCGACATTCAGATAGATTTGTAAATCGATAGATTTGTAACTCTCACAATGCTCGGCATGTTCGCTAGTTGTGTCGGTACGAATTGTGTTTTATACCTAATCTTGGCGCTAAGGTGTCCCGCTTACAGTACAAAAATAGCATTGTGGCCACAGATACCGACCTTCTTAATCCAGTTTTACAACAACCCCTTGCAAACCTCACGAAAAGTTCTAAAAATTATGTTGATCCTAAGAAGTTTACACAAACGTGGAACACACAAACATATAATCTCAAGAAGATTTAACGTAAAGGCTTTTCAATACGCCCACCTGTCGAGTTTAATATAGCTTTAATAAGTTTATCCGAAATTTTTAATATTCAGTTTTGGCCAGACCCGATACCAACTCACAACAATCATATACCAATTTCACGGTCGAGATTTTGGTAAGTTTAATTGTGTATGTTCGGATGGAGCCAAGTGAAATGAGTATGCTACAATAATTAGTGGGAATTTAAATAAAAAATTTTCGACAGATTGGAATAACGTCGGCGCAACAACTTTTCCAATTCCCCATTAGTATCGTTGCCAGAATTGTTTTGGCTTCTGCCTAGGAAAAGGTAGATGAATATCCTGACCGATTCTAGAAGTTTTTAGATAAGGAAAAGCAATAATTGTAAGAATTTTCTGTACTTCTCGCTGTATTACCCAAATCCAAGTACTCATTACACAGGGTAACGTTAGTCGCAAACCGTAAGCCTATAACATATATATAGAGTTTAAGTAAATCAATGCAAAAAATCGAACAATAGTTGGAACACCTTACGCTCAATTGACTATTTCGCATTGACGGTGGCTATCTTCAGGTAAAAACTTGGATTCACCAACTTGAGACAAAACTTTTGCCAATCAATTAAGGATAATTCCTTACAAGTACCATCCACCAATCAACATTTCATGTGTAAACAATCCATACAGTGGTTCTCCAGATATCTGTTGTGTTGTTGTATCACCACTCGTATGGATAAAAATCTTATCAGTCTCCTGATTACATTATACACGTTTTATACGTGTACAAAGCCATATATATATGCATTAAGAATTTTGCCTTGCTTTCTATTACACGGCCACATAGCAGTCTTGAGGATTAATAGAGAGGACAAACGCTTCAACGTCTTTTGGCTGGTATTCAACCGATATGTAATATGTATACCATAAAATGACCGGTATTTCAAAGTTTTTTTGTCGCCAGAAGATTCCATGTCATGATCGTCAGAATATTTTTGACTAGGATTATCGTGAAAAATTGCTTGGTTTTAAGTCAATATGGCAATAATCTTTAATGCCAAAATGTACAACTTTGTTTGAGGGTTAAAGATTGGCCATGCGTATATTACATTAAATATATATATATATATAAAAATAGTATGGAATTAGAGCGATCATTGGGAGCAAAACATGATAGATATGGATTAGGTATGCATTTTCCTCATATCAAATAACTCTGACACATTGCGGTGTCCCGCAAGTGATCGAAGTGAAATAGCGAGCCGCATAACGCAAAGAGATCACATTTCGGTAGTAGCCTTAATAAAGACACTTTCACTTTTTTATCCAGTCGTTGGAGGCAAAGGCAAACTTTATTACAGTGACATGAACAATATGAACCGGAAGAGCAATATGAACAGATGAACCCTATAGCAACAATTAGGCAGATAATATCTGGCTCAGATTAATCATTAACGACAATACTGAGTTTGTCTTTGACACGAAGGAGCAAAATTTAAAAAAAAAAAAATCCTACGCGCAAAAAGAAAAGTTATGTAAACAAAACAATTTTAACATTAGCTCTTATGGGGAATGTGATCACCAGAGCAGAAATTGTGCATTTTTTGTAATTTTCTAGATATCTTTCATTGTATACGTGAGCAGTTTTGAGGATAGAATATTTTTCACATTTTTTTACATTTATATATT